GGCATTTACGTTGTAGATGTCTATTGGCTACGTTAACCACTTAACACCAGGTGAACTGTGAGTACGTCCAGCCACCAACGGAATTAAAAAAAAAATGGGTTCGTAGTCTCGATTATATTTGATGATCATAATTCATAATTATGTGTCGTTGCGAGACCTTACTATACGCCCTGCCAACCAGTCAATGCCGACTGTACGCGGGAATAATACTCAGAGAGCGGTGATGCCCATATTCTGGTAATACCGCCTTTAACGAGACCCGCAGGAAGAAGCTGCGTAATGTCATTCTAGACCGACACTGCACAGCTAATGCTTTATTCAAATACTACTGCATCGTTAATGTATAGTATTAAAATGGAGTTGGTGGGTATGCTGTATACACCCTTTCTTACCACAATAGGGATGGATGCTACGGGAAATGTTTGTACATCAATGATTACAAACGAGAAAGCTAAACACGAAAATGAGCTTGTGTAACTCATGTGATCTATGAAACATTTCTAATTCGAGCAAAATCAAAGCGAATAGTTTGTTTATTCGAATAAGCCTTTAGACGCGTTTTAACCGACTTCAAAAAAGGATGAGGTTCTCAATTCGACTGGATGTTTTTTCTTTTTTTTATGTTTGTTACCTCATAGCTTTTGACTGGGTTAATCGATTTTGATGATTCTTTTTTTATTAGAAAGCTGACGCTTCCTTTGTGGTCCAGTTTAGTCCAGTTCTGATAATGGAATTCATGAGAAAACCATATTATAAGACTTAAATTTGCATTAAGTACGTGCGCGACAAATAGATATGAATAACTCAATATCACGTCATCGATTTCGATGATTATTGTTTTTAGTGTATATTCATTTGTTTTGGAATATCTGTTTTTTTCTATTTGAAGTTGCCTTTTGTTAAAGCATGTCTATTTACAATTATCACTATATCCGCCAACACGGAATGCAGTTTTACCTCTAAGACGAATCGGCAAGAAACTCAAGGCTTGCTTTTTCCAAATATATGCACATCACACACAATATACAAAACGTTATTAAAACACATATAATATTTCTCCCGGATAATATGGCAAACGAAAAAATATAGATATGAACGCTTTGAAAAATACAATTTCCTGTCTTAATTCGTAGTCGTTTGCATTATTACGAAGTTGTTCACCTTGAACCAGCCCCAGTAGGTGCACCGCCACAGATAATCGTATTGTTTAAATCCGACTCCGGCAAAGTCGAAGGAGGTCATAATTTTAACAGACTATATCATCTTCATCTGTTCCCTTATAATTTCGAAAATAATTGTGGTATTTATGCAATGCTACATCTTAGATTTGAAGCTAATACTAGGGTATATTCGGTCAGGTATGCCTGGTCTAGCTCGGGTTGATCGGTTAGAGGAGAAACCCATGAAGGCTTTGCGGCAGGACGATAGATTCAACGCCTGCGAGCCTGCTAGTCCCTATCACGAGATAGGTATTATTAGGAAGTAAGGAGAGGAGGAGAGTTATGTAAAATATACAGATATTTGCGGTAAAAAAGCGTACCAAGATCCCACTGAGTTTCTCGCCGGATCTTCTCAGTGGTTCGCGTTTGCGATCCGGTGTTAGATTCTGCGAAGCACGGCTCTTCCTAGGGTTCGCGTTAGCAACGTCTTCAGGTTTGAGCCCCGTGAGTTCACCTACTAGTTAAGGTTACGCTGAAATAGCCCCTTAAGGCTTATCAGCTTAGGCAGGAAAAAAAAGCTGTCCCCATCATCCTCCTCTGATAAGACAGAGATTATTCACAAATATGTATTAATATAAATGTAAATTAACAGAATCCTGATTTCAATTAAATTACGGTTCTCGTAGTTCCGGTATTTCTTTACCGTTTCTCTAATCACGGATGATAATTAAGACACATAAAATGAAATCTAATGATGAAACCAAATATCCGTTAAATCTTCACGGTCAACCGGTGACGCAATAATCATCGAACCGGGGCCCGCTCATTAGACTCTGCAACCCGGTTACTAAACAATTCACCGTAGAAGACTTTTAGAAGTTTTCTATCCAAGACTACATAAATCAGCGAGGTATGAATAAATTATATTTCTCAGTATCTATAATTTTTCAATTATTAATGTCGTGAAACTAAATAAAACATTCCCCTCTGTTCTTGCACGAAGAATTCGTTGAAATACGTATTATAATAATATCAACGTTAAAGGTAGCCAATTTATGCATAGCTAATTTAAAGCGTAAAATATTTTCTCAATAGTACAAATTAATAATGTGTAAGTAATCAGATATTTATTACTGGGACTTTATAACTGGAAATAGGTTTTTGGTGTTTCCTCTTGCGTACCTATACTCAACAAACTGTAGACGAAAAAATGTACACGTAGACATTATAAAATATTCTACAAGTGTTAAAATCTTAGAAATTGTCTAAGTTTCTCTGTCCTAAAACAAATACTTGGACCTGGAAATGACTCGATTATCTGTAACGGTGTGAGTTAGAGATAATCTATTACGTATACACAGCTCAATTAAGATCCAATTAAGTGAAACAACCAAGAAAACGCAATGATTGGAGCCACTAGAACAAACACAAGCAACGATATCTATATTCAAGCGTTATCTGAAGAGCTCGGGTGGTCGAATTTACAAAAAAATATGACGTTGCATTTAGCTGAACCAAAATCACAGATTATCTTTTTTAAATGCCTTTGTGTGATCCGGGTATTAAACTTGTAATATAAAATTGTAATCATTGTAAAGTTGAGCAGACAATATTAGAACGGCAACAATTAAGTTTGATTCAAATCATCTACGAGTATATTTCTCTTACGCTAGCCTTCCAAGAGGGTGAACGATCTGTCAAACTTTCTGTTATCTGTCACAACCAGATTAACAAACTACAATGTGAAGTAGGCAGCGGCTTGGCTCTGCCCTTGGCATTGCTGAAGTCCATGGGCGACGGTAACGACTCACCATCAGGTGGGCCGTGTGCTTGTCTGCCTACAAAGGCAATAAAAAAAAAAAAAAAAGAACAACGCAGAACGTATCGTAAACGTCTTGTACTGTATGGCGTAACGGCATATGTTTGGTTTTCTAAATTACATAACAGTTATACCTAATGAACACCATGGAAGCGAAATCTTTTTGTCAAAACACAATTCAGTGAGTTGTAAAATGACGTAACTATGAAGATAGTACAGTTTTATCTGTTCAGGCTTATTATTATCAATAAAATTTCAACGTCCATGGAAAACCAATTAGATATGTGGTTTTAAATGTTTACGTTATTCTGTGTTGTTCAATATACAGGTCATTGAACTTTGGAAAAGTTAGTCTAAGTTATTTTTGTTAGGGACTAATCACATAGGGGTAGTGGTGCTAAATACAAGAACATCGAGAATATCGAATTGCAGGATGTATAAAATTATCAGAGAAGGATTTGCATGGGAACAAATTCTTAGTAGGCACAAGGTTTTCTTTTAAAGGACATACATAAAGCAACAATTGTGTGTAATAGTTTAATGCGTATGGCAGTGTGCTCTATGTTTTGACAAAAAAGTTCACAGTGAGATTTATAGTTTGGAAGGCTTTCCAAATAACTAGCTATTTGGAAAACGATTAGGTTTTTAAATTTACATTGACGTCACTAACCTCAAACCTACTGAGTACGTTATAAAAAACTGCAACTCGTACCTACTGTCAATGACTATGTATGGAGACGGCAAAACGGATGTCTCATATTCTCTGTTTCCTCAAAATTGAACCATTTATAATCAACCTGAATTGTATATAAAAATTAGTTTCTCCTTGTACTTTTTTACTTCTGTTTTCTTTTACTCATAAAATATGTTTGCTGGATATTTCAAAACGTCAGATTTTAGTTAATTTTTGTAGCATTCCTAATTCTGATATTTTTATTGGAAATAAATTTAGCGACATGTCTGTTAAATATATAGATGGTACTGCATAAAATTATTCTAGTCTCATTCTCCAGAATGGCAACAGATGTACACAGACGTCACAGACCCAACGAAAACTGCAATCGTTTGTTTCACTTAGTTCAGTACACGATCGCTTACTCGTTTGAATTACGTTACTAAAACGTGAAGTTTTTATTTACAAAACTGGTTTGTGCATTTCTTACAGTAAATTCCCCTTTCCAAATTACGAGGAAAACACGAGAGATAAACCAGCTAAGAGTAGGTAGCTCTTTACGAATATCAGTCATCAGGAAAAGACACGTAGTATTTATCACCAGTGCACAATATTATTTCCAACAAAATGGTGATTTGTTTGCTCACTCTGACACACACACAGTCCAATTCCTATTTTTTAATTTTAATTCCTATTTGTGTTGTGATTTCAGTTTTAATCAACTGTTACTAATATTTAGCAGAAGATTGAGATATAAATATGCAGTAGGTTGTAATGTGCATCTTAGTAGATAGACAGGTGAGTTGCGCAACAGTTGTCCGACCTGTAAGCGCCGGTGAAAGCTACTGTTGCACAACTAGCTATTTGCGCTAGTTGCAACCTAGCAGCAACCTTGGTTGGCATACCTCTACAACCACAAGGTCGCATCTACTTCACAAAAAATCGCTTTTATCCGAATTACGTAATTACTGGTGGTAGGACCTCTTGTGAGTCCGCGCGAGTGGGTACCACCACCCTGCCTATTTCTGCCGTGAAGCAGTAATGCGTTTCGGTTTGAAGGGTGGGGCAGCCGTTGTAACTATACTTGAGACCTTACAACTTATATCTCAAGGTGGGTGGCGCATTTACGTTGTAGATGTCTATGGGCTCCAGTAACCACTTAACACCAGGTGGGCTGTGAGCTCGTCCACCCATCTAAGCAATAAAAAAAAATATAAAAAAAATAGGAGCACCTCTTTCTCCAGTCCCCTCCGCATTATTCACTTAAATATTTCAATAACGATGTTATTTTGTCGATTCAAAATCAGAAACAAAAATATCTATTTAGAATTGCAATTATATTTTTCAGCCATGGACCATATGATGCACCACGACCACGACCACGGACATGACCACGGACACAGTGACGACCCATGCGCTGGACATGACCACAGCCATGCTATGGTGGTGAGTGCACATGCATTTTTACCGGCAAATGACAACAGCATTTTTAGCTACACGGTGACTTCGGGCACGTGCCCACAGTACTTAATATCGTGTATCCTCCGTCGTAAACATCATAGATAAATAAAGTTATAAAAAACCTATAAAAGTTTTATATTGCTTTGAACAGAAATAATGAAATAAGCAGAAACGTCACATAAGGGTGCTGATACAATTACGGTTTACTTACAAATCTAAGTGAAAGAGTTTTATTGTTGTACAAAGCATTACCAAAGTCATCATTTTGATATAATTTCAACAAATAAATAATAACTTTTTGATGATGTGAGCCCCTTAAAACACTATCAACCGTTCCGAATGACCGGTAGGAATCTCATCGCTAATATTAACGTAGTCTAATTACCATGTGTCAAAATAAATAAATTGAAGTAATAAAGCCACAAATGTTATTCGCACCGATACTTTTCCTGTTAGAAACTAATAAACAAATTTATCAGCGTGTGAAGGAACACAAGTGGCCCGTGGTTACACTGTTGTCGACAACAGTGCGGTGCCGCGGTGGCGATAGCGATGAGTTTACGACAAAATATATACTAATTACATTTTATTGTCATGCTATTCAACTCGTTCTCTCTTCTGACAGCTAGACCATCCGACTATCCGAGAGGTCGCAGGTTATGTAACACGGAAAAGAGCATTGACGCGTCACGTTTATCACAAATCAGTCGCTAACTTATTGAAATCGTTGATGACTTACTGGTGGTATTTTTTTACCGGTGTTAGGACCTCTTGTGAGTCCGCACGTGTAGCTACCACCACCGTGCCTATTTGTGCCGTGAAGCAGTAATGCGTTTCGGTTTGAAGGGCGGGGCGATAACTATGGGCTCCAGTAACCACTTAACACCAGGTGGGCTGTGAGCTCGTCCAACCATTTACGCAATAAAAATAAAAAAAAAAACAAAAAAACTTGGGCAATATCTGTGTCAACACTTTAGTTCTGCCAAGAAAATGGTGTATCGTGAGATAAAACTTATACTATACTAGTTGTGTTATTGCCTTGGGTGGTAGTCAGTCAGCACAGCCTCCACCTAGTGTAACCAGCAATGTCAGAGATACAACTAAGCAGTTACCTATCGAAAAAGTTAATGCTTATTACGCAATTACATACTAACAAGATATATATATATATATATATATATATATATATATATTATTATTATTTTTTATTAGGTTCACACAACTGGATGAAAACTGCACACATAAACATTGAACTTATTTACATAAAATAATACATTATAGAATTCACCCTTTTGAGTGTGAACACATCTTGCTTAAGAGCGTTTGTGCTTAAGATAAAAATATCTTTAACTAATATTAAATTAAGACAAAGAAAACAAAAAACTGCATATACAAACTTACAAAAAAAAAAAAAAAACAATGAAAATAAAAAATTCAATATATATTCTGTATAATACGTGTTATTCTTTAAATTTTCTCTCCGTTGACCTTGAAATAAAAACAATTAATTACGTCCTCCATCGATGACGTCCTCATTCATATTCTTTATAAATAGGTATTGTTCTGTTATGTTTATAGAATATCGAAGTTGGAACGAATTTCGAATTCAGAAGGTTTTTGTAACGTGTATCAACAACAATGCTGTGTAATTGGTGTCTGTATGTCAAGAGGACATACAAAGATACTGACCGAATTCATAATCTACCAGAATCTATAAATATAAATATCTAGATGTCGCTACAGGAAAAACATCACATCAAAATAAGAGATTCTAACTAAAAACCGACACTATGACAACTTCTTATTTTATTTGCTCTACAACAGTTCTTGACATGTGACATATCGTATTAAAATATATTGAATGATATCTACTCAACCATAGGCCTTATTTTTATTTTATTTTATGTATTTTTTTCCTACCTAAGCTGATAGCCTTGAGAAGCTATTTAAGCGTAACCTGAACTAGTAGGTGAGCTCACGGGGTTCAAACCGGAGTGATGCTAACACTGACCCTAGCAAGAGCAGTGCTTCACAGAATCTACCACCGGATCGGAAGCGCGACCCACTGACAAGATCCGGCGAGAAACTCAATATGGCTGTGTCTATGGGTTAATTCTCTCGTCGAGCCCTTCGTCGCAAGCGACGGGTTCGACGAGGACGGTGACCGGTGCTTGTGGTGCCTAAAAGCACCGTAGGCCCTAAGAGGGGCCATTTTTATGGCGAGGGGTTGAAATGCCCGATCCACGGTGTTACGGCGGACTCACCGTATATTAATTACCATCATCATCATCATCATCATCATCAGCCTGCGGCAGGCCACTGCTGGACATAGGCCTCCCCCAAAGCTCGCCACTGAACCTGATCTTCGGTTCTACGCATCCAGTTACTGCCAGCTGCCTTGCGCAGGTCGTCACTCCATCTAGCAGGAGGGCGTCCTACACTACGTTTGCCGGTTCGCGGTCTCCACTCCAGAACACGTCTACCCCAACGGTTATCGGTTCTGCGACATATGTGACCAGCCCACTGCCACTTCAGCTTACTAACTCTGCGAGCTATATCGATCACTTTGGTCTTTGCCCGAATGACCTCATTGCGTATTCGGTCTCGCAATGACAAACCGAGCATAGCTCGCTCCATAGCTCGCTGAGTAACTTTTAATTGGTGGACTAGTCGCACAGTCAGTGTCCACGTTTCGGCTCCGTAGGTAAGCACGGGTAGGATGCACTGATTATAGACCTTTGTCTTCAGACATTGTGGTATGGGCGATGAAAAGACCTGACGAAGCTTCCCGAACGCTGCCCAGCCCAACTGAATCCTTCTGGTCACTTCCTTCTCAAAGTTGTTTCTGCCTAGTTGTAGGGTCTGTCCCAGGTAGACATACTCTTGAACAACCTCGAGAGGTGTACCGCCAACATCGATTGGTCTCGGAATGACGTTTCCGTTAAACATTACCTTGGTTTTATCCAAGTTCATTCCGAGGCCAACCCGTTGGGATGCAGTATTATAAATTAATTACCATACAATAATGTAATGTCAACTTTCGAGTGACATCAGTTTTGCAACATTTTACTGTCTTTCTTTGTTGCATGTCAACATTTTCAAATTTCCTCTCAAAAAGCAAATATTTACTATCCCAATGCATGATGGCATGTGGTGAAAAATGTGTTTACAAGTTAGACTCGCGTGGCTTCCTTTGGGGGCTTTGTTTTGGCCCCGCGTCCGTTGCCAGCAAAAATATTTGGCAAAAGTCAAGTGAGAGCGTGGGAATCATATTACTAAGTACAATACGAATACAATTTAGTTTCTGAAGGAATGTAACATACACAACAACGGCGAAAAAGACTAGATGATTATTTCTAATGGGGGCAGATGTTGTGTCGCATACATAAAACGGAACATCTTTTAGTTTATTTTCTCTCTGAGTTTAACGTTTATCAATTGTGCTAGGGCCGCCCCAGATTCTTATAACCACTATGTCTCCCAATCAGAGAATCAAATCTCAGAAATGTATGCGGCGTCTATTGATATTATTCCTGGCGACACGTAAAATACATTACTATTTTTCCTTCATTTAAATCATCAATCAAATCAATGAACTAATTCATAATTAATTAATTAATTAATTAATTAAATCATGAATTAAATGTCACCGCCGTCAATGATGAGTTATGTGAAATCGCAATTTCTATTGCATTGGAATGCCGAACGTTATGCTAGATCAAATTTAGTTAATATATAATATGATAAATACCTAACAAAACTAAAAATATTTTCAGTTCCATTCCTGCGTGTGCACCGAAATATTGTTCCAAGGATGGAAGACTACCAACGCCTTGGAGCTGTTTGGTTCAGCAGTAGCAATCTTCCTCGCCGGGGTGCTGTACGAAGGTTTGAAATACTACAGAGAAGCGCTGCACACACGGGCCTCATCTGCCAGCGATTCCAGGGTCAATATCACCAAGAGCGAATGCGGAACCAATAGTCCGTGTGCCGGTACTGCCGTTGTCAAGTAAGTTTCTCTGTGCTATTCGTAGAGCTAGTAAGAGACATGATGGTTTAGAACGAATGATTTTAAACAGCAGACTTCATCTCTTCTTCAACTCGTGTCCTCCCAATACTGAGTGTAGGTCTCTTTGAGTGCACCTCATTCTTTTCGGTCTTTTACCTTTTGCGTTAAATTCCTAACAGTAACTATGATCAGGTCATCAGGTCATTGTTTCACGGGTCCCTGGGATGTCTGCCCGTGTAACGACGTCCTGTACGAGGACTCCACAGCTCTTCTTTTTTTTCATGCCCATTTCATAGCTTTGACTAAACTGTCATCTGTGACAATTTATTGACAGTCTCTTGGTATGTTCAAGTCACCTGTAAACGAGGCTCTTAGAGATTCTCTGCGCTCTGTCGACAAGCCAGTATGACGAGACAACAGCGACGAACAAACGATTAAGTCGATAGAGGGGGACCCATCATGAGAAGCTGATAAAGTTGATTTAGTTGAAAAATTCTACTGACTGACATCCGTTTTTGAAAAAAATTATTTCGTGTTTGTAGACTAATTGAGCCGTATCTTCTTCTTAATCCCTTTTGACTTTTGACAGAATGCTCGTAATCATTATATGTATAGCATTTGATGTGTCTGATGTCCTGCCACTTTGTATAAAACTCCGGCATACACAAAAATCATCAAAGGAATTAACTCAGTTTTTCACCAAAGGCCCAATTTTTATTGGAGATTTGCGAACTCTAATCGCTAAAATTGATTTCTTTTGCTATCGTTAACTATATAAAAACTTTGGAGGTTATTTTTATTTTCACGTCATTTTTTTATATTTAACATTCAGCACGTCCTAATCGAAATTGTTTCACGCATAGGTATCTCTTATTTCCATCACAAGCATCGAACCATTTTTGCATAATTTCATTAATAACATATTCAAGTATGTACAGGGATGAACGTGGCGCCATTTGAGTAAATCGTGACGTATTTATGTGCGTCTATCTGATTGACGGTCACGACGAGCCTGGCTTTAAAGAATTTATGAGCTGTATGTGTCCAAGAGAACGGACTTCGAAATAGCTATCAATTGAAATTTTGTAGTAGTATTGAGTTTATCGTTTCAATAAACACCTGAGTCACCCGATGGAAAGTGGTTACTGTCATCCATAGATAATATACGTAGTAATAACGGCGGCCGTGATACAGTCCTAGCTAGACCAGATCGGAAGAGGCATGTTGTATGTATTATAGTTAGTTAAGTAGTGCTAATGAGATACCGAAGAATCCAAAGTGACATATTTTGCAATTAACTTTTTTATTGTTATCGACATATTTTCCTGCTCCTGTGTCCTTTGTATAGTCCAATTCGTAATTCCAATTCAATTAATTCAACCTCCATTATGTACTTCATTCGGAATGTACCTACTTAGGTAGGCAGCGGCTTGGCTCTGCCCCTGGCATTGCTGAAGTCTATGGGCGACGGTAACCACTCACCATCAGGTGGGCCGTATGCTCGTCTGCCTACAAGGGAAATAAAAATAAAAAAACTTTGGGATGTCTCAATGCGGTTATAACTTCACAGTTCGTTCTGAGCCCGCCGAACGATCTAAGCAATAAAATCAATGAAGTTAATCTTCTGCTTTCAGATACTCTATGCTGTCGGGCGGCCACATAATACAGACGTGCCTCCACTTCATTCAGTCGACCGCCTCGTACATGCTGATGTTAATCTTCATGACCTACAACGTGTGGCTGTGTCTGGCCCTTGTCCTTGGTCTGGCGGTCGGCTACTTTTTCTTCGGATGGAAGAAGAACACGGTGGTCGACATGACAGAACACTGTCAATAATTACCGTGTATTAGTGATTCTTGTAGCAGCAGGCATGTCAGGTTTCGGATTTGAGATATTAAACTAGAATTATTAGTATTTTGTTAAAAATAGGACGCTAATGTCATTAACATTAACATTGATATGTCTATAATAATTATTGCTCAGCTAAAATATGATATAAAGTCAGTTCAGTTGTATATTGACTGATGAAACACTTTGTCTTACGTATATATATAAAAATTATGTAGTTTATTATAAATATCAGGGTAAGATGGTGCTAAAAAATGAAATTATTTTTTAAAAATACTAGATTTAATATGCGATTAACTTCTTTCGTTGTTCAATTAAATATTTATCGTCCAGTTGACGAGGTCAATTGTGATCGATACACGGGGAATATGACTAGCAGAAACTGCTTTTTAATTTACATATGTAGTGAAAATAAACTATTCAAATAATACAATTATCTGCCTCTTTAAGCCTTTTAGAAAACTTAAATTAAAACTAGATTTAATCGCTCCAGAGTTTTTATAAATAACCATTATGAGATAGTCGGCCTCTCTGAGTTTCGAGAGATATGCTCAAGGTTCAACTGATCATAAATAATAACAACAACATTGGATGGAACAACAACAACATTGAAGATGTTGTTGTTGTGCCGGGGGGCCACCTACCCACGTCTTCATTATCGTTCACTCGAGTGCATATCAGTACCGATTCTATTAATTAATTATTCAAAACTCACATGATACGTTTGGTCTTAGCCGTTATTTATAAAAAAAAAATTATTGCCTTTGTAGGCAGACTACCGTACGGCCCACCTGATGGTAAGTGGTTACCGTCGCCCATGGACTTCAGCAATGCCAGGAGCAGAGCCAAGCCGCTGCCTACTGCTAAATGAAGACTGAATGCTAAATGAAGAAGAGAAAATGAGAGACTTGACCTCGTGTTTGACTACAGGGGGGGTTTGTGGTTGCAAAGTGAAATACGCCTCCGTGACTATTTTAGATCGGGATCTGTAATTACAAAGATATGAAAAATTACATTACATAAAATACAAATTTTATACAAAAATTTTGAGGAACAACTTTATTCATTATTTTTACCACAAATGTTATAAGTAGTAATGAGTGTAATCTGTGTACTCGACTTGATTTATATTGATTTCATAGTTTTTGGCGCGATTAACTTCGTTTTTCCAGAAATAATTTTTATGTATTTCGTAGGGAGATCATATCAATGCCAATCCCTGGTTCTATTGTACCTACTAACTAATGTTTAATAGGCGGTAGGTATTAGTTTTCAATATACGGTTCAACTCAATTATTATGTTTAAAAATTTCAATTCAAGGCACCCTTCTTGTTTCGTCAAGTATTACATTAAATAACTTTACATATATAATATTACTTATATATTGTACTACACCCTGATAATACTATTCATTATGATTCTTTGTAAGTTAAAACTAGTTTCTTGAATATAAAAGAATTGTTTATAAAATTCTTGCCATTTTGTTTTTCTCTTTGTCATCTATACCAATTATGTTTTTTATAATAAATGTACGCGATTTTGGGGTTGTTAAATTCAATTCCCTCTCATTTCTGTGACCGGGTTTTTTCGTGTATTAATTACTATTGCACAATTATTTGTCAACTGACTGAGTTTGAACGTTGGCTTTAAGTGTGTCATAATGAGTACAAGAAACTTTATATTTTATGAATTACAGAAAATGACGCGGTTACTAACTCAGTCTTTTCAGTTCAGTCTCACTAACTGGTACAACCAGTACAATTGTAAAATAATAACAAAAATAATAATAAAAGGTTTTAAATAACAAAAACTCCCTGGACTCTCCAAAATTACACTCTAGTCTAATTGGTAATAACAACATGTAAATTTGATTGATATTAAATTCGATTTCATAAGTACTGAGATGACGCTGGCGTTTATGTACTTGTATTTAAATAAGTATATACTATACTGTAAACGTATGCAATCGACAATAAAAATTGTTCACAAAAATTGTCTTTTAATAGTTTATCGCAAATGCTTTAATTTATAGTCACACAGTTTAATATTAAAATAGGTAAACCTACAGGATATTTCCAACGTCATACGATATACATAATTAGATTATAAGAGCAGGCAGGCCGACAATATAAACTGAAACAGTAATTGTTTGGCTACCTATTTCTTTCACAATAAACATTTTAGTGTACATTTGAGATGATTCTATCATCTCGTTTTTACCATCGCACCGCCCGCCACCGGAGTAGAGTTCATCCATACTACCTGGCGACACTGCGGTAGGCAGTGGCTTGGCTGTGCCACTGGCATTGCTGAGGCCCATGGGCGACGGTAACCAGTCACCATCAGGTGGGTCGTATGATCGTCTGCCTTCAAGGGCAATAAAAAAAACACTATTCCCGCCTTATGCCAATTAAAATTCTAGACGCAGTACAAGATTAGTAAGATTCCCTCACCGTTCTCGTCAAACCCGTCGCCCGTCGTTTGCGAAGGGTTCGGCGGCTAAATAAAACCCACAGCCACAACCCATTGAGTTTATCTCCGGATCTTCTCAGTGGCTCGCGATTCCGATTCGGTGGTAAACTCTGCGAAGCACTGCTCTTACGAGGGCTAGTGTTAGCAACGCCCTCAAGTTAGAAAAAAAAAAAAGTTAGAGCCCCGTGAGCTCACCTACTCGTTCTGCGAATCTAGCATAACCTCTCAAGGTTACTAGAATAGATAGGAAAAAAAGAGATTTTCAGGTCAGATTAGTGCAGAGGCCGTCTACTGCTAAGCGATTACCGGAACTGATAAATACCCCAACGCGAATGCGGCTATACACCTTGATCCCTTAACTTTAAGTCACAATTGTACTGCAGCAGTGGCCGCGAACCAATCTAACCGGAACGAACAAATATAGAATCCTGACATCCTAGGCAACGATATGCCCAAACAGGGCATTCTAGCTTTAGGGATACACGTTCCGGGAAATCGTTCCGGGATGTGTATTGAAGTCTACGAATAATAAAACTATGGAACAGTAACTCGCCTTCAATTGAACTTTAGTTTATGGTTCCATTTACGCATACAAATAAAAGCAAATACAACGGCCTGCTCGGGCAATAAAAAATAAATGAGTAAAACCTACCTATTACTATCATAAAATAAGTACCAAAAATATAATGCCGAAAATATTCACAGCTAATTTCTATAAACAATTCCCTTCACATACAAGATTAAAAACTTATAAAAGGTGAGATTAAACTTTCCCTGTCCCTGTAAACATTTCTATAAGAGAAAGATAAACAATTGCCAAATAACTTTTTTAAGGCGTAGAACCCATTGAACCGAGAAACTCAGTGGGCTGATGTTTAAGTTAGGTTGCACGTTGAACTCTTTGCCCAATTCAACGAGTACGGTTACTGGAGTCCCTAAGCCTGCTCCTAGTGTTAGAGCTGAAGTCGTTTAATGCAAGAGTTATTGGATCTGATGGATCCATAAGGACGTGTCAAAGGCGTCGTCGGTGCCTGGCCCCTGCGTTATCAGGATTTGGGGAGTAGCCAGCGGTAGCAACGATAAGGCGATTATTTCCCTGTCTCTGTAAACATTTCAATAAACAATTGCCAAATAACTCTTTAAGGCGCACAACCTATTGTGCGTAACCATACAAGGCACCTTAACTATGGATTATTTTAAAGAAATAAAGTATAATGACATTTTAGACAATATGGCTAATACAGTTTTAATTAGTTGTTATTTGTGTGATTAAAAACAATAATGGAAAACAAATAATAGGTAATTTAGTTTAATTCTGTAAATTGACAAGTGAAAGTCTGCCATTATATTTCCGAACGCAATCAGTTCGTAAACGTTATGTCAAGTACAATGTGACGGGTATTTCGTGTTTTGCCTAAATGTAATTTACTTGTTGATTTAACAGTAATAATTGTGAGAAAAGTGAGTGAATTGTTGTGTAAATTCCCGCCAGACAGTTATGTTATAGTTCTATCAGTGTCCAGTAATATCCTGACTGCAGAATTCGCGAGAAAAGCCGCTAACTAAACAGGTAACGGTATATTTGACAACGTAGTTAAAATGTTGCGCGTTAATCTAATTTTTTATTGAATGTTGATATGTTACTTGTACTTTGATTGTTCTTTGTAATAATTTTCCTCTCTCCTTTATCGCCTAAATGTAATTCATAAGCGTATAAAAGGAATATCATTAGTTTTTCGGTACATTGGTAGGACTACTGCAATGCGGCCTTTCTCTGTTCAGACATCCAAATAACGTTACTGACTTGAAAAGTGTGGAGAAGTCGTCTAACCTCATTTACCCAGAGGAATAGAAAACCCAGTGCGACTTTTATAACTGTAAACTGTGACTCTTTTTATAAATTTAAACAAATAAAAATTATTAGATATTTTGTAAATACTTTTGCTTTAATTTACATAAAAGTGTATTACAAAACAATCAAATAATGTAATGTACCTAAAGTATATTCTTATTCAACAATCATTGCTTCTTCTACCTCGCACATATCTTAAACTTTCTAACTCAGTAAAATGTAGGTCATATAAATTATAATATATCTATTATATTTTAAGATGTCATTGCATTGATATTATTCTAAACATTTTGCAAATTCGGTATTTTTAACATAACGAGAACTATAAACAGTTTGTTCAATATTAACAAAATATAATGTTGAATGTCAAAAAAAATCATCTAGTTAATATTTAATTTTCATTAAGAGCTTTATGTGTTTTATAAAATTTATCATAAATACTATCCCAAAACATCAATTCCTGCTTTGAGGAAAGCTCTTTGAGCTTCAAAGTATCTTTAAAAACAAGTTCGACTGCTGTTCGTATTTGCCTATGTTCATCACCCACGACAGGTTGCCATATGACTGGTATTGCTTCTGTAATTAAGGGACTTGGATCTCTGAAAATAAATAATTAAAACTTGTTCATTAAAATAAATAATTAAATAGGGGAGTGTTGAAAAAAGTGTTATCATTTTTTTAAACTGGTGAAATAATTACCAAAAGAAGATTCATCATAATTAAGATAATCAATATTTATAATTTTAATGGACACATCACGGGTCTCCCATATGAGGTAAGAAATGAATATGTTATATTCTATTAATATTATCTATATTCTATATAATCTAGGAATCTATCTATCAGCCCACACACATCCACTTCTGGACATAGACCTACTTATCCTATATTGTGATGATATTTATTTTGTCTCCAGTCACATTTAAACAAAATCAAAAAAGAAAAAGATGAAAAAAAGAAAAAAAATGTTAAATGTGATTTCCTCCTCATTTATTATTACGAGTGATGGCAGCAACTCTTTAATGTATATGGGCTTTGATAAACATTTAAGACCAGATGGAACATGAGTTTGTCCACGTAAATTTTACAGTATGTACTACAATTTACAAAATAAATATTCTGTTCTAATCTAATTAATTTCAGATTTTTAACTGCATCCTATAAAAGAAACTCAAAAGCACTCACCCTAATTTAATAAAATTGCTAAATAAATTTGTTAATTTTTGTATAGCTTCATTGTTCTTATTGTAATTTAGGTCATTTTCCCCAAAAATGAAATCAACTAATTTCTTATTTTGTTCAGACAAGACATCAGCATCTGCCTCATAATTAAAGTTCATAAGATATACATTAAAATAATTTTTCGTAGCATAAAGAACAGCATATTTAACAGTTGGGTACACCATTAAGACATCATTTAAATAATTCTCATAACTGCTAGAAGTGTCAATGTCTTTAAAGAAGTAAAAATCTTTAATTAATTCTGAAATCTTATATCTAATTCCATCATTGGTAAATTCTAAGTTGCTTGGAAGTAAATCAACAAAATCTTCTGGCACTGTTTTTAATTTTTCTGAATTATGTCTTAATTTTAATCTAGTATATGATACAAGCATTGGGATATTGTCAATTGGTCCGTCTTTCAGTAGTTGCAGTGGATCTTTATCAATTAGACTTTCAGCATTATTTACACTCTCAACACAAGGCAGGGAAATTTTATGTGCATCCAAGAGTACTGTTACAGAAAGCTTCCGCAAGTATTTCAGCAATTTATGTGAGTTATTTGTGTCATTATATCCTAATTGTTCTCCGATTGCAAATGCATCAGCTATGGGATTGTAGGTCAAAGCTGTAGGAGACAAAATTGACCCAGATTCCAAGATGACTTTGTGAAATCCCATCATGAGACGTGCTTGTAGAAGTAACTGTATTGATATTGAACCAGCCTCAGTTCCATACAATGTAACATCATTAGGATCACCTCCAAATCTCTTTATATTTTGTTGGATCCAGTAAAGAGCAGCAACCTGGTCTTTCAAACCTACATTTCCGGGAGCTGCTGGAATTCCGAGGCATAGGAAACCGAGTACACCAATACGGTAGTTAAAAGTTACTATTATGATACCTTTATTAATTAGGTTTATAGGTGGTTGATGAAATCCCCATCTGTAAGAATACAGCTCACGTAAATTGTGTCAAATTAATCATTTTATTGAAATTTACTTAATCAATAAAAACAATAATACAAATTACCCATTCTGATAGTCCCCTCCATGGACATGAACAAGCACTGGTAAGTTATTACTCACTTCTGGAGTGAATATGTTAATAACGAGACAGTTTTCATCTCCGATGTCCAACTGAGGGCACTTAACGCGATGCGTTGCTTCGAAGACTCCATCCCACCGAGGAGGAGGCTTGGGCGCCTAAAAAATAAACACTAAAATTTCAAAATAATTCCAAAAATGATATCATCAGCACTTATTGTGAATTTCGTTTTTGGAATTCACGTGTTTTTTTTTGGTGATCGCTGGACTATTTTCTATGGAATCGTTTCCTGTAAGTGACCACCTTGTAGCTGGGGACTGTTTTCAGCCCTAAAATAGGTATCATAATGCTATAAAGGCCGAAGAAAGAAATCCATTGCGGAGTTTATCCTATTCGGTAAGCGATACGGAAGCCTCGGACGGACCTCACTTTGTGACATAGTGATGATCACGTCGAGAACTCGATTTGTTTGATTACCGGAGACGAGTGATAACAAAACATAAATTACGCAACACATATTGAGATATCGGATCAAAGTCCAAACTGTATTGAAAGAATACTTTAAATCGGAACGCATGATGCTTTAGTAGAGAAAGGGGTAAGAATTTGGTACCTTCGTTACACAGTATAAAATTTAGAGAGAGAAAGAGAATGGAAGCTGTATAGAAAAAGGCAAGGATGTGCCAATGATGAGGATAAAGAAGTGAATACTACTCCTCAACAACACTGAAATAACACCCAAAAGAGATGATAACCCTATGAAACTAATAACATCATAAAATATTTAGAAAGCTTTTGGTCATCTTGTCAATACTTTTGATTATTGAATACGACATGAAAGTGATAAATTCGTCTGCAAATAATGAAGCCTCCTCGTCGTCCTTGTGAGCGGTGAGCGGCCTCTCGTAGTCACGGGAGTACCGAAGCTTTCACCGCAACACAGCGCCGCTGTGAGACACGTCTAAAATAGCGATTCATGACTCATATCGGATTTTCCACAAAACATGCAAATTTTTTAATTTGAATGTTGTCTGCGTTGTTCTTATGTAAAGAAGCCTCTGTATATTTTTTTGTATTTTTTTTATTGCTTAGATGTGTAGACGAGCTCACAGCACAACTGTCGTTAAGTGATTACTGGAGCCCATAGACATCTACAACGTAAATGTCGCCAATGACCTTGAGATATGAGTTGTAAGGTCTCAGATAGTTACAACGGCTGCTCCACCCTTCAAATCGAAACGCATTACTACTTCACAGCAGAAATAAGCGGAGTGGTGATACCCATCCGTGCGGACTCACAAGAGGTCCTACCATCAGCATTATGTTGAAAATTCTTAGGCACTATATTGAAACAACACATCATTTTAACACTTTTATTAGCTTGACCTGTATCTGTTTTTTTGAAGCAACCTTTCAACGTAATTTTCGGCAATTTCATGGTGTCACATTATATTGAAAATTTTCACGCATATCAAGGACCCGCGACAACACAATCATTTCATTACTCTGACCTGATATCCTAACCAGAATCACCAGGATAAGAAAAATGACTACATATTTGATTTTATAGTTCGGCATGCTATTAAAGTAGGTATATGTGTTTTTTTTTGGTTGATTTTGCTGAATTTTAGATGATTTTAGAATTTTAGGTGGCATCATTTCATAACTTTAGAGATTTAAAGTTGAAACTGTATTTTCATCATTTTAACATACAAAATCAAATCAAAACACTGAACGGCAAGTGTAATAATTGTTTATATTCGTTCACATCGGTAATCAGATTTAGCTGAGTGTCCGATCTTAGGTGGGCGGCACTATTCGTATTGAAACAATTACCGCTGCACAGCGGGGCGTCTTGCTACGGCTGGCCCGTACACTCGACTTAAAGAATGACAGCGAAGTCCAAGTTAGATTAGCGATGTGGGTTTCCAAACAGAACGCACTTTGACTGGCAAGTCGATGACATCAAACTGAGCTGGCCGATAGCTGCCTAACAATAACCTACACCGCCCTGTCAATTTAAGAACTATAACGGAAAATATACCGAGAAACAAGTTTCGGGTACTAGTACCGAGGGAAGATTGCGAAATGGTAGCTCCTTCTTATTTTAAGACAAACTATTTAAACTTATTTGGCCTCTAAATGTGTCCTGTGAATGGCGATCGGTAGCACAGACCCAGTTAATTTCCAATCATTATTATCGCTGCTGATCTTAAGACATGGAGTATCCAAATGTATTTCGTGAGAAAACAATAAATAAATAACTATTCGTCGTGAAAGTTGATGAACGACTCATAAAAGATAAATTATTAAGTTATTAACCCCAAAACACTTCCATCGCAAGAATAATGATATGAAAATTTTCTTTTCCTATACGACACGCTGATACTGATCTGAGTTGTACGCAAATGGGATTCCCTGTGTATCAATAAATGAATCTGCTGACCTTAAACCTGTTTTGGTGCGTGGGCGGGAGGGCGTAGGGCACCCCGAGGAAGGCAAACCGTGACGGCTGCGGGGAGTAATATCCGCGCACCACACCCTGTGTTGTCACCACGTCGCGATGAGGCCTTAACGGTTGGGGTGCTCGACATTTGACGCAATGCATGAACAAATTAATAGACAACCAATAGACCAACATAGGCAAAATCGTCTGAATACTAGTTGCGATCGTTTAAAATAACGCACTGAGTTAGGGAATTGAGTTTAATAATAATTCCTAAACAATTATCGTGTTGTCAAAACATGTGTTAGCAATGAATCGTCCAAGGAAATCAAAACATCAGATAATCATTGTTTATTTATGATATACCATTTACATCGAATATTTAACGTACATGGCGTATGCTTAGTTAATTGACTTTGGTCTCGCCGCGTGGGCGTGTGTGACCTCGTGTCGGTGACTAATCTGCTATTCGGAACCTCCGAAATCCGAAATAGGTTATGAGCGATACGATTCCAGTGTAAATATTTAGGTTCGGTCGTTTTACGTTATTACGCATTTCAATGAAATAGTTGTTGTAGATGTTGGTCCATAAATTTAATCTGCTTAAGTGCAGTCCTTGTTTTAAGCCGATTTCAGGACCGAGCTGCATCCATTCTTCTTGTGCTGGAACGGTCACAGTTAGTCGGTTCCAATCCGTCTCATTCGCTACTGGATTTCTGAAATTTATGATTAATATATTAGATGGATCGAATAAAAAATTAAACGATTAACTATAGTTTACTAAATAACTTCTGATAGAAAATCAACAATCCAAATACAACCAAACAAAAACCGAAAAAAAGGAAAAACAACAAGACAACTAACATTCCCTTGTTAGTTACAAATATATATTAGTGAACTGACTACTTTATGATGTGTATTACAATATTCAATCTCTCGATCTCGGAATAGATAGCTTAGGTAAACCATTAAAACATGCAATGAGATAATATAAACGCACCCGTTTTCAATAAAAGTAAACCACGTATCGACCATTATATCGACGACCTCCCTTTCAGCAGTTCCTTCAGTCAATATTCTGCCATCCTGAGTGAACACGTAGTTTCTGATATCACCGCGAACCGCTCCTTCGACTGGTCTGTCTACAGTATGCGATTCTGAAATTAATTCTGTAAAACTGAATTCGTAGAAATAGACTTTAGCTCCCGCATTAGCCAAAGATCTGGCAGTTCTGATGGCTGGCCCTAAGAAACAGGAATCAGTAAAGCACAGTGAAAGTCCCTCTATGTGGTCTTCTAACGTGATCGGCTTGTTTTCTATAAAATACTGAGATCTAACGTTTCTCACTACGTTTTGTCTTTCTATGTCACTACCGAAAGCCAAATCGTCCGGTAGCAGAGTTGCAAAATCATCATTTAACTGCTCAATGCTCGCTTCGTTCTGATCTAAGGCCTCGTTCAAGCCAGCGTAGTTTGCCGATCCAATCATAAAAGTTATATTGACTTCCTGTTCTCGTATCATTCCCCATGGAGTTTGAGTCATAAAAGGATTATTGCCTTTCTCAATACAAGGTCGGAAATGAATGTTTTGTGCAGCTTTTAATATTGTCAGAATTTCGGCAGTTTCCAAATTAACACTGTTGTCGATTTTGGTCAACGCTTCGGTTAGTTTTTCGCCAGTCAATGCGGGATTTCGGTCTAAAGCCCAATACGAAAGAACTGATCCGCTCTCTGTTATAGCTTTATCAAAATAGTTCCTTGAAGAAGACGACAAGGCCAAAAAGCCTACCAACGCACCAGAAGTCCCCTCACCACTAACCACAATAGTATCAGGATTCCCCCCAAATTTTGCNTCGATTTTGGTCAACGCTTCGGTTAGTTTTTCGCCAGTCAATGCGGGATTTCGGTCTAAAGCCCAATACGAAAGAACTGATCCGCTCTCTGTTATAGCTTTATCAAAATAGTTCCTTGAAGAAGACGACAAGGCCAAAAAGCCTACCAACGCACCAGAAGTCCCCTCACCACTAACCACAATAGTATCAGGATTCCCCCCAAATTTTGCAATGTTATTCTTTGTCCACTGTAGAGCCATACTTAAATCCTTGAGAGCTGCGTTACCTGGAGCCACTGTGTTTCTTAAACACAAAAATCCCAATGGGCCCAATCTATAGTTTGGTAGAACTAATATGAGCCCTTTGGACACTAAGTACTCCGGACCGTATAGGGCTGGGTCAGCACTGCCCTGGACAAAGTTACTTTCGTGTATATGGAACAAAACACTGACATTTTCGGCATTAGCCGGTGCAAAGATACTCAAAGTCAAACAATCTTGACTACCCACAAGTGAACCTCCTTGTAATTGTGGGCATCGAGACTTGTGTTCTCGGACTTCATGCGTCGTTTCCCAAGCATTGGAAGACTTTGGTTCCTGAAATTCATTATAACGTGATTTATAATAAATTAATGTTATTTATTTAAGTGAATTATACTCCCCTAGAAATCTATGCGAGACTCGGAATAGAATCCTAAATAAAAAATCCTTTACAATAGCATAAGATAATATTTGGTTGTCCGCGTACTATCATATTTAATGATTTAAAAAACCCTATGACAAATGTAAATGTTGCAAAAGTACACGATGAGGGTTAAGGCTCTGCATATGGGGGTCGTTTTTCTATGTCAGTAATAGGATAATAATTTGCAATTACATTCAACTACCGAATTGATGGCTACACGATTTCAATTCCGTTCATCTTATCACAATAGATAAAACAAATCAGGAAAATAGGGTATTTTTTTTTGTAAAAGGAAAATGGTCTATCTGTGTTTGGCGTTGGAGAAATTGATATTGCGCCTTCATTTATTAATTATTAATTTATGTATGATTGATTGTTTTCTACGTGCACTAAATTAATATATTGTTATTTAAGAAATCGATTTAAAGACCGATCTTTTTCGAGAAGTAATCATTATTAGTGTATGAACACAATAACTTCGAAGTCCATTGGCAATAATAATGCCTGTAGGGTACGAGTATTATTGTAAACTGGTTTGATTGAAAGGTCAATGTAATTTATTTCAGTAACGGGCGACACTACATTTACAAATCTATGTATATTTTTGAAACACGTCGTCTCTTTTTTTTATTGCTAGGATGAGTGGACGAGCTCACGGCCTACCTGGTGTTAAGTGGTTACCGGAGCCCATAGACGTCTACAACGTAAATGCCGCCACCCACTTTGAGATAAGAGTTCTAAGGTCTCAGTATAGTTACAACGGCTGCCCCACCCTTCAAACCGAAACGCATTACTGCTTCACGATAGAAATAGTCAGGGTGGTGGTACCTACCGGTGCGGACTCACAAGAGGTCATATCATCAGTAATTACGCAAATTATAATTTTGAGGGTTTGATTTTATTACACGATGTTCCTTCCGAAAAATTGGTAGCCGCCAGAGGGATTCGAACACCGTCGCATCGCTACATACGACTGCACCGGAAGTCTTATTCTTTAGACCACGACGACTTCAAAAGAGTACTTACTGTGTACTTTCATGCAGTATTTTAAAGTTATACTTTTTTGCGCATAGCAGCAATTGACTAAAAACAGCTATAAATTGCCTTTACACTTCTCCCTTTACTTGTGCGTTGTTACTCGTGATTTTCGTGATTCAGGACAACTACCCTTAACCATTTTATGAGTGATAAAATATGGCTTTATCTCTTAATTGTGTCGACTGAGAAACTTGCGATTTTTATGACTTCCTTCCGCTATAAATCTTAGTATTTAGTACTAATTTCAACTTAATACCTCTATCGGTTCATCAGATAAAGGAACTAACGAACTCACTGGTCGAACATACCAACTGACTTCCGTTTGAGTACCGGAACCCTAAAAAATAAAAAAGTAAAGGAGATAATTACGCACCTCAAAATACTTAGTGTATTTTGCATAAGGTATGTCGATGTAGCTGATAATGTCCCCCGTGGTGTGCCATTCAAATCCCCTGACTAAACCGTGTGTAGTCTCGATCAGGTTGTTCTGTTCCATACTAACCACCTCACTCTCGGTTCTATCCGTGAGACCAGTGGTTGGTGCTTCCGTTTCTATCCTCAAGGTGGTGATAGAAACGTTTTCGTCAGTAACTGAGGGTTTTATAGTTGTTTCAACTTCAGTAGTCGTGACTACGTCATCAGTGCTGCCCATGTTCCCGCTTAGTGTGCTAATCGCTCCATCGTCTGGTCGAGGAGAGCTGGTACTGTCTGTTATTAACTCTNCGGTTCTATCCGTGAGACCAGTGGTTGGTGCTTCCGTTTCTATCCTCAAGGTGGTGATAGAAACGTTTTCGTCAGTAACTGAGGGTTTTATAGTTGTTTCAACTTCAGTAGTCGTGACTACGTCATCAGTGCTGCCCATGTTCCCGCTTAGTGTGCTAATCGCTCCATCGTCTGGTCGAGGAGAGCTGGTACTGTCTGTCATTAACTCTGGGGACTGTTGTTGAAGCAAGTCGTCAATTGTCAATTCGAGTCCTGCTATGGTAGTGGCAGTGACAACTAATGTAAAAAGTATTCCACCGTGCATTTTACATGCTATTTATAAAGTTTATGGTATCTGAAAAGGTATTGAAATGTAAGTTGGTATAACTGTCTTTTTCATTTCTGTCGAAAATCGTTCTTGCTTGATGGTGTATAATGTTTCAATATAAACAAAACTTTTGACCTTAGGTATGTAAAAGGGCTGTTGGAACCCCAGAAAACACAGGCAAACTCGCGATGATATTTTACTTGTTTATTTCACTCTCCTATCATGCAATTTAATGTTCTACATGATTTTATTTATGTCTATATAGATTGTTTGTATTGGCTTTTAATAGAATTGTAAAATTTATAGAAATCTAATTACATCCCCACAACCTTTAGTTTCGTTAATCGATATGAGTTATAACTATTTTATTATTATAAACTTCAATTTTTATGTTTGAGTGAATATGAATAATTTCAAGCGAATGGTATACATTCAACGTCCGGCCATCCAGTATTAAAAAAAAGACATAAGCAATAACGAATAAGGGCAGGCTAGGACAACAAAAGAAATGAAAAGGACATGAGCGGTCTCCAGGAGAATGAACTCACCGTCAGCGATGCTAGGCCAGCTGCTGCACGACCCTCTGCGTGCTTTAAAACAGCAGTACTGTCCCCTCCGATAAATGGCAATGAAACGCGATCGATCTACCGAGCAGTCGTGCACAAAATGCTACTTAAATCACACATTGTGAAGATATATTTTGCTATAATAGGTGGACAATCTCATAGCCCACCTGGTGTTAAGTGTGAGGGAGTCCGTATAGAGTCCCTTCTTTATTTCGCGGGAAAATCGTGTTTTTGGATCACTCGTAATTAACTCCACAGTTGAAACAATAGGAGTTTTATTGTTGCAGCGGCTTACACAGTTCTAAGTTATACACATTTTTTTTTTCGTTCTATATATTTTCGGCGGTAAAAAGGTCCCGTGTCACAGACTATATTCTTTTTTCGACCTCTCGTGCGTTCTGGCTTATGCATCATAAAAAGGAGCTTCTTAAACGCCACAAGTGTTTACTGGAGCCCAAAGACATTTACAACGCAAATGCCGCCACCCACCCTGAGACATGAGTTCTAAGGTCTCAGTATAGCTACCACGGCTGCCCCGCCCTTCAAGCCGAAACGCATTACTGTTTCACGGCAGAAATAGACGTGGTGGTGGTACCTACCCGTGCGGAGTTCCTACCACCAGAATCCAAATTCTCTAGAAGATCCAAATTCTCTAATTAATACATTCTGAAACGTTGCAAAATTAAAATACATTTTATAAAATAAAATAAAAATAGTTCTGAAAAACGAAACGGTGCTTAGTTTCAATAAAAGTATATAAATTGATGTGTGATCATGAGTGTTCACGGTTGGCCACCATTTATTAATATAGTGGCTTGGACGACGTCTAAGCTGAGACCGCTTACCCCTCTGTCAGCTTTTCAACTCGACTGTACAAAAGCCCGGCTTATCAAGAGACGTGGAAATAGTATCACAGAAACCTATCTACCCACTCACCGGTAGATAAGCAAAGCTCTCGTCTGTTTGCCATGTAAAACAATGCGATATGTCACAACCATACTTTATTATTATTTTATATTGTGCGGTGCGAATCGGTGACGATTTTTGTCACAACACAATCGCACGTCGCATATTCAAACTATATTGATTTAGTTATGGATAGGCTTACTATGAACTTGCACTAAATTATATTCATCCCAGCAACATGAAACTGCTGTACGTCCGCACATGTCTCAAGGAATCACTTTAGCCACCTAAGATTCGGCTCTAGAAATGTACTTTCTCTCTGCGTGAAATCCGAAAAGGGCACAATCAAGTTAAATGTAGTCCTCAGCGGTTGGCAGCGGCTTATCTGTCCCCAGATGGCTGCTGATTTCTATGTGCGACAGAAAAGACTCACCTGCCTCCAAAGTTATTAAAAACAATTTAATTCTGACCTCGTGTCTCAAGAAGTGTGCATTATGGTGTATACACACACAATCTTTCTCTGAGTGCTGCTAGGGGGTAGTTAAATACTGCTGTAAGTCTCATAAATAGGGTAGTAAGAGATGTAACAGCTAAAGATGACACTGTAGCCGCAGGTATATTAGTACAAGATATATTTGACAAAACCCTGAATTGCGCTAATAAAAATCGTAGAATTAGTTTGTACAAGTAAAAGTTTCAATAAAGAACACTTGGCCTATCGGTACACCGAGCAACTATAGCAAGATATTCCTTTTGACGTTCAAAAAAATGCACAATCAATAACAGCCCTTATTATAAAACTGTTTTGGTTAGTTTACTCAAAAAGCGGTTATTTTAAGGAAAAATTAAATTAGCGTGACTGGGCAGTGATTAGGGATTTTTCTCCCTAACACTACACACTACGGTACGGTCACTTCACTTTGGTATATAAGTTTTAAGAACTTTAAGAGTAGAGGGAGACTAAAATTGAGAATACGTGGCGATGGCTTGTGCTCCTCTAACATAGTCAATGATAATTATAATTAATGCAACGCAATGCTTGCTAAATCGCTGCAAAACAGGAATGGTTCTGCACCTCGCATTGTTGAAGTCCATGGGCGACGGTAACCACTCACCATCAGGTGGGTGGTATGCTCGTCTGCCTTCAAGGATAATATAAAAAACTGTATTTATTTTTCGAGTGTAGTAGAAACAACATTAAACCGTTATTTTGAATGCTATTCAAGTTGACTGTAATTTATTGTTTAAAATAATGCTTAACCCGGCGTGAGTGAGGTGGGGTATGTCATACCTGAGTTCTTACTGGTGGTAGGACCTCTTGTGAGTCCGCACGGGTCGGTACCACCACCCTACCTATGTCTACCGTGATGCAGTAAAGCGTTTCGGTTTGAAGGGTGGGGCAGCCGTTGTAACTATACTAGATATACCTTAGAACTTTTATCTCAAGGAGGGTGGCGCATTTACGCTGTAGATGTCTATGGGCTCCAGTAACCACTTAACAACCAGGTGGGCAAAGTTTCGGGTATCTCATACCCACCTCGTAGCTGGTGTAACAATTTCTCACCTCATTCACGCCGGATTAATTTCGGGCTTATGAAAAAATTCGACAGTACATTTTTAACATTTATCCGAACTATAAAAAACAATTTGCAAAAAGTAAAATGGATTGAATTAGAGAATCTTTTATCACGTTTGACCGTGTTGCTGCTTGAAAGTCTCTGAACGTGTCCTGAAAAAAATATAGCATTAATAATAATTGAAGATTAAATAAGTATGATGTTCGCAGAGTATATCAGGTAAACACTGTCGTGCCAAATTTAAGTCATGATATCTTGGTACCTGACTTGGTCATCCACGCTATCGCAGAACTCAACCATTGTCTTGAACTCATCAGACAGAGCGGACAGGCTGTAGACGTTGGGCTCTTTAATGAGTTGATACATTAACTCTGTTTGATTGATCGGTGGCCACTGAGGATCATCAGACTCTGTGCATGTTGGATTGCTGGAATAGAGTACCATATGAGTTAACAGTCAGCGAGCGTATACTTTGTATTAAAAAACGGTACTGACTTGCATTTTACGTAGTTACTGAACAGTGTGGACATCCAGTCCCTCATGTGATCATCCCTAGTCTGAGGAGGAATCGATACGTGATCGCGGAGAAATGTGGTGGTGCGAAACACGTACGTCAGATCCTCGACATGACCTGTACCGTTGTAACTTAACCAGTTAGATCTCTTTATAACGCTGAAGTCACCCTGATACGAAAATACGTACAGAAAAGTCGGTGCTGAATTGAGCAATGTTCTCCATTGTGCTAGTTTTATAATAGGATATTGGAACAATTGATCTGTTACACTTTTTATGAAACCATCCATAGTCGCTTCACCGTCAAAATATCTTTTCGCTACTAATTCTGCTTTAGCCAAAGCTTCTTCTGTCGATAACTCGTAAGCTAATCTCGGTGATAATATAGCAGCCGGATTAGTTTTGTAACGAGTTAACGCATCCATAATGGTTAAAAGCCACCTGAATGTTTCTCCTTCATTCTGATTGAAACCCATTAGTAAGGGAATATCCTTACCCCGACCCTCTGCTATGAGAACTATGGGGTCGTCATCAATAATCCTCGTATAGTTATGACCTTCAATTTCCACTACCGGCACGAACGAGGCTATACCTGAATTGTATTGCACCACGTCATTGGCCTTCATGATGTCTTCCAAAGGTAGTTCAATTAAAATCTGATGAATTTCATCAGGATCAGTAGAGTTAACACCCAATTGTCCGAGGAAAAAATCGGCGACATATTTGGCGTATACCGCAGAGGTGCTGTAGAAGCTTGGAAAAGCTGTACCACTCATTATTATGGCTCTGAAAATTAATTATCTAATAATAGACGTGAACAAATTCTTATTTTATACAATACCACTGAGACCTTGGCCTCTCATGTCTTAAGGTGGCAACTAGACTGTGATGTCTATGACTTCAACTACCTACTTAACACCAGATGACCCGTGAAATCTTCCCCCATTTATGAGTTAAAACGAACTGTGTCAACTTGACTATTCTCCCATGTGTTTTGCAATATTATGAATTAACTTTTTTTTGCCAGTGTGCCATCTCATAGGTTTTTATTTCTAGAGAATACTTAACATCTTATGAACTATCCCTTTTTTTCTCTTCGGGCCAGGGGCCGAAACCTCCTACGAGGTCCCCGTGCCTAGGTGGCGGACGCGGTATGTGGGACTGGTCCGCGACTGCGAACCGCGGACCCAAGGATATTTTTAGGGTCCTACCACACTAAACGACACCCCTGCACTCTTACACTCGACGTCCGATCTCCGCCCGAGATCAGAACCCGGTCAGAGTAGGAGGGTTCCCGAGGTCAACACTACAACCAAATTCGCGACGCCACCCCGAGGACGCCCGGGCGATGCCACTGGTGTTCCGGGCCTACCTGCCAGGTCGGAACGCGATGCACCGCTGACTGGGTTGCTATTGTATAGTATTTTCGGCGACGACAGCGACGACGGTAATGCAGATCGCAGCTGAAGACGCGCCGTCCCATCCTCCTGGTGCCAACGCGCTAGAATGACGGTAGCGTGCGGTGCAGCCTCGAGCCCCTCAGGTCGCCCCGTGACCATCACAGTGACGAGACCGCCTCCACAGTGATAAACTATCCCTAACTTAATAAGCGGCCCTATAAGGCGACTTCCGTTGGAAACATCTCTTATATTTTTGCGCATAAAGAAACTTAAAACTTTTTTTTTAATGATGAGTACGCAAACTTGACACAGCTTAGGACATTTTGTGAAGACGTCGTGGCCTAAAGGATAAGACGCCCAGTGCATTCGTGTCGGGCGGTGCAATGGTGTTAGAATGTTGCAGACAGGTAACAATTTTTCTAATGAAATACGTACTAAAAAATTGTTCACGATTGACTTGCACTGTGAAGGAATAACATCATGTAATAAAAATTAAACCCGCAAAATTATAATTTGCGTAATTACTGGTACCACTACCCTGTCTATTTCTGCCGTAAAGCAGTAATGCGTTTCGGTTTGAAGGGTGATACTGTTAAAACTGAGACCTTAGTACAAGTCGTGTCTCGAGGTGGTTGGCGGCGTTTACTTTGTAGATGTCTATGGGCTCCGGTAACCATTTAACACCAGGTGGGCCGTGAGCTTCGTCTACCTATCAAAGCTATAAAAAAATACAAAAGGGAAATAAACACGTACTTGTTGAAAAGTCCCTTAGCGGCATCAGACATCATTAAAAGATTAACCGATGCAGCCCCAGCGCTCTCTCCGAGCACTGTCACTTTATCAGGATCCCCCCCAAAGACTCGTGCGTTTCTTTGAACCCAGCGTAGCAGTGTCACCATGTCGCGCAGACCGTTGTTACCCGGAATCTTATCCGAAGCAAGGGATAAAAATCCGAAAACCGCCAATCTGTCGATAATAATTAAAGATGAATGGGTTTATATTACTATTATTATTCATTTTTTAGAATTAAATGGTTTAATTATTATAGTCAAACCTGGGCTACTTTAATGGCGGACCTTTGATACGATCGCTACCAAACTTCATATAATTACATTCTACGCTAATTTGAAGGTTTGCTGAAACTTTCATAGATTTCAGTTTGACCAATTCGGGGTCAATGGGGAACATAAATCCTCATCGACTTTTATATCTATAAATTAACTAATATTCAGCTGGTAAATGACCCAGCGTCATACGAGGTTATTGACATCAACTGATTCAAAACTGTATTACATTGCGCATTGCGTACCATACAAACGTTTCAAATATTCAACACGCTTCTATTAGGTTGTCATGCGTCTACCTACGTTTTTACGAATAAAAATAACAATACCTGTAATTAAAATTGATCACAATAACATTTTTCACCATCAATAACTCTGGTCCGTGCAAATCCCGATTGCCCGACCCTGCATTGAAGGCGCCCCCGTGGATGTTCACCAGTATGGGCAGTAAACTAACTTCGCCGAGTTCATCGCTGTGTAGTTGAGCGGTCGCCGGCACAAAGACATTGGCATAGATACAGTCTTCGCTGACGCCCTTGGCTTTGACAGTAATGCTGCCATAGATAATGTCTCTCGAAGGACAAGCTGGTCCTTCCTCGTAAGCATATAATAGATCAGTCCATGGCTCCACAGGCTCTAATTCCTAGAAGAATTTACTCAGTATAAAACTCAATTTTAAATTCTACTAGCTGACACGGCAGACTTCNCCTCTGGGTCTGCGGAGGGACTTCGGTTCCCTCTGTATTTTGTACCGTATGTTCCATGGGGAGTGCTCTGAGGAATTGTTCGAGATGATACCGGCATCTCGTTTTTACCATCGCACCGCCCGCCACCGGAGTAGAGTTCATCCATACTACCTGGCGCCACTGCGGTCATCCACAGTGCGTTTCCAGAGGTCTTTTTTGCCACGTACCATCCGGTTCTGGAATGACCTCCCCTCCACGGTGTTTCCCGAGCGCTATGACATTTCCTTATTCAAACGAGGCTTGTGGAGAGTATTATGCGGTAGGCAGCGGCTTGGCTCTGCCCCTGGCATTGCTGAAGTCCATGGGCGACGGTAACCACTCACCATCAGGTGGGCCGTATGCTCGTCTGCCTACAAGGGCAATAAAAAAAAAAAAGCTTCGTCTACCTATCAAAGCTATAAAAAAATACAAAAGGAAAATAAACACGTACTTGTTGAAAAGTCCCTTAGCGGCATCAGACATCATTAAAAGATTAACCGATGCAGCCCCAGCGCTCTCTCCGAGCACTGTCACTTTATCAGGATCCCCCCCAAAGACTCGTGCGTTTCTTTGAACCCAGCGTAGCAGTGTCACCATGTCGCGCAGACCGTTGTTACCCGGAATCTTATCCGAAGCAAGAGATAAAAATCCGAAAACCGCCAATCTGTCGATAATAATTAAAGATGAATGAGTTTTTATTACTATTATTATTCATTTTTTAGAATTAATTGGTTTAATTATTATAGTCAAACCTGGGCTACTTTAATGGCCGACCTTTGATCTGATCGCTACCAAACTTCATATAATTACACTCTACGCTAATTTAAAGGTTTGCTGAAACTTTCATAGATTTCAGTTTGACCGGTTCGGGGTCAATGGGGAACATACATCCTCATCGACTTTTATATCTATAGATTAACTAATATTCAGCTGGTAAATGACCCCGCGTCATACGAGGTCATTGACATCAGCTGATTCAAAACTGTGTTACATTGCGCATTGCGTACCATACAAACGTTTCAAATATTCAACACGCTTCTATTAGGTTGTCATGCGTCTACCTACGTTTTTACGAATAAAAATAATAATACCTGTAATTAAAATTGATCACAATAACATCTTTCACCATTAATAACTCTGGTCCGTGCAAATCCCGATTGCCCGACCCTGCATTGAAGGCGCCCCCGTGGATGTTCACCAGTATGGGCAGTAAACTAACTTCGCTGAGTTCATCGGTGCTTAGTTGAGCGGTCGCGGGCACAAAGACATTGGCATAGATACAGTCTTCGCTGACACCCTTGGCCTTGACAGTAATGCTGCCATAGATAATGTCTCTCGAAGGACAAGCTGGCCCTTCCTCGTAAGCATACAATAGATCAGTCCATGGCTCCACAGGCTCTAATTCCTAGAAAAAATTACTCAGTATAAAACTCAATTTTAAATTCTACTAGCTGACCCGGCAGACTTCGTAGTGCCTCCATCGATAAATAAAATACCTAAACTTTTGTATAAAATAAACTTAAAAAAAACAAAAGGAATCCGTCCGACGGGGGACACATCAAAGGAAAAAGAATTTTTTTATTTTTATTTAATTCCGAGCATTTTCAAATATGAATTTAAACCTTCTCTAGACTTCCACAAATAATTCAAGACCAAAATTAGCCAAATCGGTCCAGCCGTTTTCGAGTTTTAGCGAGACTAACGAACAGCAATGTATAGGTAGATAGATCAAAATACTTGAAGTTTTGTTCTTTTTCCCCTACATATTCTCTGGTAGCCTAAGGAGCTATTCCAGTACAGTGTACTGAAAGAGAATTTGCGGAAGGTAATTGAACAAAGGACTTAGCAGTTCAAGACTGCTGCTGCGACCATTGCGTGTGTGCACCTTTACCACATTTATAATCGGCATAAAAAATACGATTATCAATTAATCTCACAAGAGAATAAGTCCAGCGCTGTACAATGTGAACAGTAACAACTTCTCACCGCTTTCAGATAGATATATGATTAGATAAAATTAAAATTTCCAAAAAACAGATCACACAACAGGATTTCTCATATAATATTAAACGCATTTGCAAGTGACTTGTTCCTTGTCTACGTTAAGGTTATGTCGAGATCGTTTATCAACGGACCAGCGACGGCTACAATTGGCTGCTATTCTCGAACGATTTGATCATAATGCTGTACCTCTCAGATTTTGTCCTTAAAGCCACTGACAGCCAAATGAAAGCCATTTTACTTACTGCAAATCTCCTGGCTCCTGTGGGTGGTTTCCCGTACGGTATTCCCTGGAAGCTGTAGTATTTGGTGCTGTTTTCGGCAATCTCCACCTTCCCGCACACAGGCCCAGAGTCAATGTTCACCAACACCCCACATTGCTCATTGCAGGATACACCACAAACTGCAAATAGAAAAAAAACTTGTTTAAATTGTTGGACCTACTATGCATAATGTATATAAACTATGTGTGCCATGCGATTTCACCTGCGCTCAGCACAAAATCATTTAACTTCGAATCACCCTCTGTAAACAGGCTATTTCGAATGCAAAAAAAAAAACTTTTCAAATCGTAGGAATACTTCTTAAGAGCTGCATCTGTTCAAAAATACATTAGATAAGTATTTGTAATATTTCACTCGCGGTTTCATAATAATTATAATAATAATTTATGTATAATATTTGTCTTTTAAAGGTATAGTGCATAGAAGGTTGTACATCAAACCAAACATTCAGTTATAGTTCCCATGGAGAAATTGGATTGGGTTGTAGTTAAGTTGGAACTTTTGAAACATTCCGTATTGATACAAAATAAAAAAACAAATAATTATCATATTACATAAGCTTAACTTACCCCACCACCGGCAAGCTTAGGTTACTGGTGGCAGGGCGTCTTTTGGACCCCGACGAGTACCATGTCCCTGCCTATTTCTGCCGTGAAGCGCTAATGCGTTTCAGTTTGAAAGGCGGGGCAGCCGTTGTACAATAAAACTGAGAGTTAGAACTTATGTCTTAAGGTGCGTGACGGCGTTTAGTTTGTTGATGTCTATGGGCTCCGGTAACCGCTTAACACCGGGTAGACCGTGAGCTCGACTACCAATCTAAGAAACAATAAAAAAAAAATGGGCAAACATTTAAGTACCATTTTGTCTGTTTATTATCAGATATTATTCCGTTTATTGTTTAGCAGATGTAAAAAAATTTAGTTAGAAGAATAATTGTTTTTTATCCATCTTTAACCCACCTGTGAATACATAACATAAAAAAAATATATATACATACTATGAACATAATTAAAATTACTTATACGGCTTTTAATCTTGCGTTTATAATTTTCGATGTTTTGGTGGTCACTGAACGACTAAGGTTTTATTTTATTTTTATGTCTGAGGGGACTATTGATGGCTCGGAGGCCTTTCCAGTTTCACCAGGACAGGTAGAGCCAGGAGGGGTAGGATTTGCTAACAGCTACCCGAGCGCCTCCAAACGCGACCTAAGAACTCAAGAGTAACTGCTTCGCGAATGAATCTACTACCGGAACGGAATCGCGACTCGCTGAGAAGATCCGGCGAGAAACTCAGCGGGCTGATGCTTAGGTTAGGTTGCACGTCGAATTTTTTGCCGAGTTCGACGAGTACGATTAGCGGAATCCCTAAGCCTGCTCCTAGTGTTACAGCTAAAGGAGTCTAATGCAATGGTTATTGCATCTGATGGATCCGTAAGGACGTGACGACTATGGTGTCATTCGTCGAAATATGTGAAAATTGTGCTAATATAGAAATATAGACGATAGTAGGCAAGTTGTCTGTGCGCCTGTACAACATAATCCCATAAGATGTTCAGAACCTACATATACATAGGTTTAAGAAAACTATTAAATAACATCTGTGCAATAAAACTTACTATAAAGTCTATGATTATCTAGAAGATTGCACAAAGTGGGAATGAGTTGCTCGCTCCGGGTATTTCAATATTGTAATAATTGTTACGTTATAATACTCATTGTAAAAATGAATATTTAAAATAATCTAATATTTAAAAATAATAATAATAATACTTAATTCATATTAAAAAAAAAAAGACATGCCCGCTGAGTTTTTTGCCGGTTCTTCTCAGGACGGAGGCTAGTTCTTGTGAATTGGCGGTAGTTCTTTTGACGTTCAACAAGTATGTACTTTCATTTATGTTGAATAAAAATTTTTTGATTTGATTTGAATATTCTTGCCAAGTACCGTATATTTTAATGTAAAGCGCGGTACTTATCTATAATTATGTCTGCAATTGAATAAATGTTGAGATATTATTCTCTACTAAATTTAATCGAACTCACCGACGAAAAGCAGACCAAGTAAAGCCGTGGTGTAGTGGCTCATTGTGGTACTGATATGAACTACAGTGTAACTCACGTCTTTATGACTTTATAAATGCAATTATGTGTACAGTAGATCAATGTGTGTAGGGTTGACAATATATACTAATATAATAAAGAGGAAAGATTTGTTTGTTTGTTTGTATTGAATAGGCTCCGAAACTACTGAACCGATTTGAAAAATTCTTTCATTGTTTGGAAGCTACACTATTCCCGAGTGACATAGGCTATAATCTTTTTTAAAAAAAATAGGGATCCTTACTAAAACTCCAATAATGTAACCCAATGTGTAAAAAAATTACCTAAAATATTCTCTACATCGCGTGCCCTGCGAAAACCAATGATAATAGAATAAAATAATGTACTACGACTTTGTAAAACACATTATTATTTACAAAAAGTGTCGCGACAGCATATGTCTAAATATTATAGTTATGCCGCAATAAGTATTCTTTTATTTTAAAAAATAAAACAACGTTAAACATCGTTGAAATTTTTGTTAAAGACCCGAGCGGAGCCGGAGCGGGCCGCTTGTTAGTTTATATCTTAACTCATGATCGATGATTAAAATGTAGTAGAATATTAGTTATGTTTGTATTATGTTTTTTAGGTGAACGGGTTTCTCGCCTACCTTGTGTTAAGTGATTACTGGAGCCCGTAGATATCACAATATAAACGTCACTACCAATCTTGAGGCTTGAAGTAGGCGAGTTCTCAACTTAGTCGTCGAGGCCTAAAGGATAAGACGTCCGGTGCATTCGTATCGTGCGATGCACCGGTGTTCGAATCCCGCAGGCGGGTACCAATTTTTCTAATGAAATACGTACTTAACAAATGTTCACGATTGACTTCCACGGTGAAGGAATAACATCGTGTAATAAAAATCAAACCCGCGAAATTATAATTTGTGTAATTACTGGTGGTAGGACCTCTTATGAGTCCGCACGGGTAGGTACCACCGCCCCGCCTATTTCTGCCGTGAAGCAGTAATGCGTTTCGGTTTGAAGGGTGGGGCAGCCCTTGTGACTATACTGAGACCTTAGAACTATATCTCAAGGTGTGTGGCGCATTTACGTTGTAGATGTCTATGGGCTCCAGTAACCACTTAACACCAGGTGGGCTGTGAGCTCGTCCACACATCTAAGCAATAAAAAAATAAAAAAAAACGTAATAGTAATTATTCACGATCAGATATACCAACACCGCATCGGAAAAAGTTAGCGCCCCTGACTGTCGCGTCGCAGATCGTGGGTTTGATTCCCACATCGGGCGCACTTTGTGTGATAAACATATTTGTTTGCTCTTTGTCTGGGTGTTTATTATCTATATATCTACTAGCTGGCCCGGCAAACGATGTTTTGTCATATAAATTATTTCTAGGAAATATAAATAACCTAGATACCGACTGCAGCACCATTTGCCGGGCTGATTTGTAAATCTAAACCATTCTCGAATCCACCTGAAGGTACACAGAAAATTTCATTAAAATCGGTCCAGCCGTTTAGGTGTTTTTTTTTAGTTTTAGTAACTATACTGAAACCTTAGAACTTATATCTCAAGGAGGGTGGCGCATTTACGTTGTAGATGTCTATGGGCTCCAGTAACCACTTAACACCAGGTGGGCCGTGAGCTCGTCCTACCATCAAAGCAATATTATTTTTTTAAAACCGTCTACCGACACAACGATTGGAACAATTATGATTGAATCAACATGCCACATGGCGGTAGTCTCGTGGGTCAGGTCTAAATATTTTATTAATTTGTCCTTTTCTGCCTTCACGAGGTTCTCGTCATGAGGAATGGAATGGAATGGAATCAACCAACACTGCTCGACGCGCAGATCGATCTATTATCACAATATCAGGCTTATTGGCAACAATATACCTACCTATCCGTGATAATAGATCGGTCCCAGTAGAGCGTAACATGACTATTATCAAGAACTGGTTGAGGTTGATATTGGTAATAAGGTACAGCAGAATCAAGAAAACCATATTTCAGAGAAAGTTGTTGATTGAATTATTATATTATTATTATTACACATGAAAAAACACTGCTGTTTTCTGGTCAGACAATTCATTATCGTGATATAGATTTGTCAATAAAAATAAAATAATTTTCATACCACAAAAATTCAGTGATTCATAAAATATACAGAACACGCTATAATCGTTAATTAAGACTTGTTATAGTTATTATTGTTATAACAAGTCTTAATGTCGAATTAAGTACTGAAGCTTAGTTATGAGCGGCTCATTAAGACAATGCAGATTATGAACTCTCTCAACCCTCCGGGTACAAATAATATTTTATTTATTGTTGTGTAAACGCAGTATATAGTGTTGGTAAGAGCGTTTATCGATTATAATTATATTAAATATTTCGTCAGCGAAATGAAGATCATAGGCACACGTATCAGGAAGAACTTCGTTACCATTGTTATATATTATTTCAGTTAAAAAAAAATATTATTATTATTGTGATTTTTGGAATCGATATTTCGAGCGTTTCATGGCAATAGTCATATGGTAGGTAACACCAAAGCCCTCTTATAAAACCTTAGGAGTCTTGAATCAAGTAAAGTAGTACGTCACGCCTGAACCAAGACTTATACTGTACAAAACACAAGTCGCATCTGTTCGTGGAATCCTTCTCGCAACTCTGCCAAAGCTCTCAAAATACTAGCTACTCCCTTGACTCCTTTTGACTCCTTACAAAAGGGAGCTACTCTAGTTGTTAAAAATCTCAAATTCATGCAACGCTTGCAACCTTTGGGTCTAGGTTCTCTCTGTATCTTTTACCATGTTTCATTGGAAGCGCTGAGGAATTGTTTGAGATTATTCTGTCATTTCTGCGCTGTCGTGCGTTCTACGCTTCTAAGATTCTCGGTTATTCGATATTTCAATGTATCGACATGACGTTCGTGAAACGACTTTTGTATCGCAGCAGGAGGCATTAATTTGACATTCGCTCAGGTACTGTCGGTATTCATGAATCTATTAATACGTGAAGCAAAAACTTTGTATCCCTTTTTACGAAAATTGCGCGGACGGAGGAGTTTGAAATTTTCCACACTTATAGAGAATATAGAGAAGAAGTGCACAATGTTTTTGTTTTTATTTTAAATAATAAAAGATACATTAAATCAATAAAGAAAACATTACACACACTACATACCATGCATTTGACGCACACACGCATGCATACTATTTATCGTCAAACTTTTGTTCTTGACGTCTGTTGTCAAATTGAGAATAGATTAAAATTAAATATTGTTTGTCTTTGTTAATATTTTTTATATTGTAGTCTTGACGAAATTTGTGATTATAAAAGTATAAAATACAATCATAATACATAGTGTACAAACTTACAATTCCAATTAATTATAGTCGAATTTCGACTACTGCGGGACCTCTAGTAACAGTAACTGCCTCTGCCTTCCTTGCCTAAAATCGATGAAACGCTTTCTGGTCCGAATGGTTGAATAGCGCGGATCATCAACTCGCACGTTGGTTTCTGGGTCGGGCATGTGGGAGTCCTATTCCCGTCGAAATTTTACTTGAAAAACGGCGAGAAAATAATCTGTCTGCCGAACAAGAAAAGATATCTCGAATTTGGTCACGTTGCCAATGCCACTTGTATGTATAACAAATAAGGAAGTTGAAGCAGTCCACATTTGTTTTGAATTAATCGCACATGTGATGAAACGAGTGTTAGGTACGTCTGCAATGTATAACTTATGTTTTACAGAAACACAGTCTGGGTGTTTTTTTTAAATATAATTTATACTAGATGATCCGGTGAACTTCGTATCATCTACATATATTTTGTATAGAATGTTGTATAGAATAGAACTTAAAACAATTTTTTTATCTACATTATTAAATGCAACATAGCTATACACTTAATCAATTTATAGTTTTCTGATGCTCTATATTTTTTTTTTGCGTAAATTTATAAAGATAGTTATGGTTCTCCGACTTGCGAACGCGATACGCCACGTATGTATAATTAATTACACATAGGCGAAACAGAGTAACTCCTAGTTGATTCCGTAAAACCTGCAACGGCTGGTATTGCGATTTATTTATGATCATCGTAAAGGCCAGCCACACGGGGAACTGTAGACGCTTAAAATCTAATACCAAATATGTTGGAATCATCGGTATACACGGGATCAAGACATCTTCTTCTTTGTATTTTCCCTTAATGATCTTGACCTCGATGACGTTTTTTGTTAGCTTTTTCACAGCCAGTCGAGGTTGATTAATGTTACGCGGTATATGTTTAGGGCAATCTTAAACATAAAATTTTATATGATCGTTTTTAAATTTGGGAACACACTAATAAGTACACAGACAGTTACAGTTACAATAAAATGCTGGCCGTACATGCACGTGTTGTACATCAAAAAATTAAAATCCTTCGCTCTTCGAGAAAAGTTTTTAATATATTTTTATAATAGTGGTGTCAGTTTCAATATATTTTTTAGATATCCAATACATTTAAGAATTTGAAATACTCCATTTTTATAATAATATTTGATGTCCATCTTGGGCCCAGCACACTATGGAGAGGGGGCATTTCCATTTGATTGGCTATTGTACACTGCTTTGTAATAACAACTTTAACTAATGCGCGTAAGGTTGAATTTGCAAAATATATGTTTATAGTATAAGTATAACTACGTAGATATAATTGGTGTGTTTGGGGACAGTTTCAAGTGCTACTTTTGTATGAGACTGTGCATCTTGGGTTTTTATATATCAATGTTATAAGACAACAAATTTGCTAAGAATTATTTAATAGGCGTTCTTTATTTTAATTCCTAAACAATGAAGTCAGACAGTCCTTTCCTGAAATTAGTAATTATAAATATATAAAACAAATACAATTAAGCATTTCACGCTGATTTGGGCAAAGGGGAACTTATTTTTTCTCTAATTTTGATGATTGTTACTGGTTACAAATAACTACGCAGCAAACACTACTTAAAAATAAATATCTAAGTGCACACCGTCCGGAGCGAAACACCAGCATTCTTCGAATCAAAATATTGAACTATTATATTTTCTATAATATTTTTATAGCTTTCAAATACAAATTAGCATATACGGTCCATCTAATGAGGCCTGGTCGCCGTGGTTCATGGACATCTGCAATGCCAAAGTATATTAGACAGAACCACGCCGTTGCCTCAACAAAATAATTATGCTGTTTCTTTGTATTGCTCCTGAAGAATCTCTGTTTGCGTCCTGTAACAACGGATACGATGTATAATTAGATAAGTAAATAACATAACTCGTATCTAGGGAACATTAAACAACAAACATGAACCCAATTACCTGACTTGGTCGTCGACGCTGTCGACAAACTCCACCATTTCCATCAACTCATCGGATAGAGCGGACATATTGTAAACATGAGGCTCTCGAATGACTTGATACATCAACTCTTTGATATCGGTGGGGGGCCACCGAGGATCATCGAGCTCAGTGCATGTCGGGTTACTGAAACAAAACTTCAAACGTGAGTCAACAATCAGGTGAACCAAGCCAAGAACCATCGTGCATTTTGTATTAAAGAACAATACTGACTTGCATTTTACGTAGTTACTGAACAAAGTGGACATCCAATCCCTCATGTGATCATCCCTAGTCTGAGGAGGAATCGACACGTGATCGCGAAGAAATGTAGTGGTGCGAAACACGTACGTCAGATCCTCGACGTGGGCCGTTCCTTTGTAACTTAACCAGTTGGCTCTCTTTACACTGCTAAAATCACTCTCATACGAAAATAGGTAGAAATATGTCGGCGCTGATCTCAACAATACTCTCCATTGTGCCAGTTTTATCATAGAATATTGAAATATAATATCCGTCATACTTTTTACTAACCCATCCAATGTGGGTTCNAACACGTACGTCAGATCCTCGACGTGGGCCGTTCCTTTGTAACTTAACCAGTTGGCTCTCTTTACACTGCTAAAATCACTCTCATACGAAAATAGGTAGAAATATGTCGGCGCTGATCTCAACAATACTCTCCATTGTGCCAGTTTTATCATAGAATATTGAAATATAATATCCGTCATACTTTTTACTAACCCATCCAATGTGGGTTCACCATCAAAATATCTTTTTCCCACAAACCTTCCTTTCGCGAAAGCTTCCTCAGAAGGCAATTCGTACGCTAGTCTTAGTCCTAATATGATTGCAGGATTACTTTTATAACGATTCACAACATCCAAAATCATTATAATCCATTTGGCAAATTCTCCTTCATCGCTATTGAAACCCATTAGTAGTGGAATATCTTTTGCTCGACCTTGTGCGATGAGAGCTATGGGGTCATCGTCAATAATTCTGGTATATTCGTGATCCTCTATCTCAACGACCGGCGCAAACGAGATGGGACCTCTTTTATATTGCACAACATCATTGGCTCTCATTATATCTTCTAAAGGTAGTTCAGTCAGTGTCTTATGAATTTCATCAGGATCAGTACAATTCAAACCCAGTTCTTGGAGGAACATTTCGGCGATCATTTTAGCGTATATTGGAGATGCAGTGTAGAAATTCGCCATAGCGGTGCCACTCATTATTATACCTCTGAAAACATAGGGAAAATATTTTTAGATGTGCACGAACGGCAATTTACTTGATGCTATTGGGACTTTTCCCCTTCATAGGTAGATTGAGGTTGTGTATATTTAAGCGTTAGACATGCAACTACCCCAACGACAAATTACCATAATGCAGCCAGCACAAGGAAGTTTCTTTAACCCTTATGCTTGCAGCTGCAAACTGCTGTTAAGATGATATTATCGGTGCAAGTGCAGCAATTTCCTTTAGCTTCCCGACTTGATTTTCTATTTATTTTTAATATGTAATTAAATATTTTCAGACAAACAGAACAAAACCGCTCGCCTACGAGCATAACTCACCTGGAAAGCTCTAAAATACCAACAAAATTACTTGTTTACTACAACAAGATGAAAAAAATACTATCTTCGACTTTCGCGAGTCATAGACATAACCATAACTACATACGGTTTAATCGAAACAAATATGAGGACTAAAGTATTCGAAACGTCAAAATTAATATAAAGACTATTGTCATACTCGTAAATGCGAGACTAAACTATAAAACTAGTTTCCATTAATATACAAAAAATGAATACTTCTCGAAAAGTCCTCTAGCGGCTTGGGATAACATTAAAAGGTGAACCGATGCTGCTCCAGAACTTTCTCCAAGCAACGTCACTCGTCTAGGATCCCCTCCAAAGGCGCGCGCGTTTCGCTGAACCCACTGTAACAGTGTGACCATGTCGCGCAGACTGTTGTTACCTGGGATCTTGCCAGAGGCAAGAGACAAGTATCCAAATACTGCCAACCTAATATTCAAAATATATTGTCAATTTGAATACGATATCAAACCAAATGATCATTATTTTAATAATGAGTAGTTTTAAATTACCTGAAGTTAAAATTAATTACAATGACATTTTTCACCATCAATAATTCTGGTCCATGCAAATCTCTATTTCCAGACCCAGTATTGAATGTACCTCCGTGAATGTTCACCAGTATAGGCAGTAGGTCGTCCTTAAGACAATCACAGTCCAAACATGCAGTGGCCGGTACAAAGACGTTAACATAGATACAGTCTTCACTCATGCCTTTAGGTTTCACGGTGATGCTGCCGTAGACAAGGTCTCTTGACGGACAAGCCGGTCCTTCCTCATAAGCATAAAATGGTTCACTCCACGACTCAATAGGTTCTAGTTCCTAAAAGGCTTAAGATATTTAACTATTCATTTTTAAATTTTTCACTACAATCCTTGTTCACTTTCGTTNGACGTTAACATAGATACAGTCTTCACTCATGCCTTTAGGTTTCACGGTGATGCTGCCGTAGACAAGGTCTCTTGACGGACAAGCCGGTCCTTCCTCATAAGCATAAAATGGTTCACTCCACGACTCAATAGGTTCTAGTTCCTAAAAGGCTTAAGATATTTAACTATTCATTTTTAAATTTTTCACTACAATCCTTGTTCACTTTCGTTTATATTTAGTTCTAGCATATTTTGACCCACTCACCCCTATATTAGGGTATTAGGGTCGGTTTACGGCGTTTTCTTACCATCTCAACAAAGGACACTGACAACTAAAGAATGAAAGCAAAGCAAAAACAAAAAATATTGAGTTGAATTAAAAACAATATTTTAATGATTTTCAGCGATAATTAATTAATCTATGAATTATTATTGTTTTATGAAACATAAAAATAAACTAACCGCAAATCTCTTGGGTCCTACCGGTGGTTTCGCATACGGAATACCTTGAAAGCTGTAGTATTTCGTATTGTTCTCTGCAGTTTCTTCTCTCCCGCACACTGGTCCTGAGTCGATATTCACCAGAACCTCACATTCTGTGATGCAGAACTCTCCATATACTGCTGTTATTACTAAAAAAAATATTGTGGTTAATTTTTATTTGTGTGTTACGCTCTACACTACATATGTATAATAAATACATTGTAACCCAGAAACTTGTTTTTATAAACAGCAAAAATAAAAAGATAAATGTCTGCTGCTGCACGGTCGTCACGGAAAAACTGCGGAATATATTAATTACGATCAACTTTTTTAGTTTAACTTTGGGAGACACTTCGTCATTTTCTAACAAAATATCACGATATCTTCATTGAATATAAAATTTAAATACAACTCACATTTGCAGATGTGTTTGATAGACGGCGTGAATAGTTTTCTGACGGCGTTATATTGCATAGTTTAATATGAAAAATGCATTTTCAAGCGATCACATAGGTACATAATATGAATTCCAGGCACAATTAGATTTACATACAGATGTCTCTAAATCCATATTGTGTTTAATGTCCGTCACTCTGCCTATTTCTGCTGTGGAGCATTAGTGAGTCCCGGTTTGAAAGATGGGATAGCTATTATACTATAAAATAAGATTTTGAACTCATGGTGGGTATATGGCGGTATTCACGTAGTAAAGTCTATACACTATGAGCCGTTCACCACAATGTAGCGTTGTATGTGGTCATTGACGCCCGAAAAAGGGTGAACTTCAGTTGGAGATTCTGTGTATTTAATGGTGCTTGCGTTTTCGCAGTAGAGAATTTCCGAAATATTTTCGTTCGTTTTTGGCACCAGAAACAGCCATTTGTGGCAAAAAAAATTCTTGAGGTCAACTAGTTTTCCTTGGAGCGTCAACAAGTAATTGAGATTTGAGGAATGAGAAAAAGAAATGAAATAAAAAAAGAAATACTTACCTATAAAAACAAGAATAATTGATGCGACAGTGCAGTGCATTGTGGACCGACGTACTACAACTGACAACACAACTCATTCTTTTATACTTGTGGTGCGAAGTCTTGAAGTCGTCGTGGCCTAACGGATAAGACGTCCGGTGCATTCGTGTTGAGCGATGCAACGGTGTTCGAATCTCAGGCGGGTACCAATTTTTCTAATGAAATACTGAAACATACTCAACAAATGTTCACGATTGATTTCCACGGTGAAGGAATAACATCGTGTAATAAAAAATGAAACCCGCAAAATTATAATTTGCGTAATTACTGGTAGTAGGACCACTTGTGAGTCCGCGCGGGTGGGTACCACCACCCTGCCTATTTCTGCCGTGAAGCAGTAATGCGTTTCGGTTTGAAGGGTGGGGCAGCCGTTGTAACTATACTGAGACCTTAGAACTTATATCTCAAGGTGGGTGGCGCATTTACGTTGTGGATGTCTATGAGCTCCAGTAACCCTTTACACCAGGTGAGCTGTACATGGGTTTACTGCTTCACGGCAGAAATAGGCACGGTGGTGGCACCTTTTTTTTTTTTTTTTGTCGGACCGGGGGCCGAACCTCCTACGAGGTCCCCGCGCATAATGAGCGCGCGGGGTATGTGAGACTCAAGGATCTGCAGGTGTTGAGGCAGATCGCGGGCCCAAGGATTTTAGGGCCCACCCACTAAACGACTCCCCTGCACTCTTACACCCGACGTCCGATCGCCTCCGAGGTCAGAATCCGGATGAGGTAGGGGGGTTACCGCGGTCAATACTACAACCAGACAGCGCGGCTCACCCCAAGGACGCCCAGCCGACGGAGACTTCGAGGCGAATCGAAGGCTCTGAAACGTCGGCCGTCTCGGTACGGCAGCCCGTCAAGCCGCCCAGACGGTGCCGCTGGTGTCCCGGAATAGCCCGCTGGACCAGAGCCAGCCTGCCGAGTCGGGACGCGATACACCGCCAACCGGTCGCTCTTTCGTAACTCTTTGGCAGCGCGCTAGAGTGCTGGTAGCGCGCCGCGCGGCCTCTACCCCCTCAAGTCGCCCCTTGAGCTTCACCGGGGGAAAAAAAAACCTTGTCACGGTGGTGGTACCTACCCTTGCAGACTCATAAGACGTCCTACCACCAGTTATGACCACCAAATTATAATGTTCCTGTCGTAGTTACTGATGGTAGTGCGTCTTGTGAGCCCGTACGGATGGGTACTACCACCCTGTCTATTTCTTAGGTTTATTTTAACTAAATGATTTGTCTTCCTCGTTTTCTCCATGGGACTGAAACTTGTATCCTAATATCTGCAGACCGCAAACTGATTGATGCCTTCGTAATGTCGTGTTGGAGAAGAATGCTTCAAATCCCTTGGACTGCATAACAGACCAAAGCATCTACGAGTATGGTATACTCGCGATTCTTACAATCAAAACTGTTGCTTACTCGCAAAGTATAAGGAAATTTGACCACATCCACACTACTCTTGATTGAACTTTCTACAATTCTTTTTCTTTTTTTCATATTTTTTATTGCTTAGAGTTGTGAACGAGCTCACAGCCCACCTGGTGTTAAGTGGTTACTGGAGCCCATAGACATCTACGACGTAAATGCGCCACCCACCTTCAGATATCAGTTCTAAAGTCTCAGTATAGTTACAACGGCTGCCCCGCCCTTTAAACCGAAACGCATTACTGCTTCACGGCAGAAATAGGCATGGCGGTGGTACCTACCCGCGCGGACTCACAAGATGTCCTACCACCAGTAAAAATTTTCCCAGAGCAGCCGAAGATAAGACGAGATGGTACAACATCGTGAGGACGAAAGTCATGGATGGAAGTGGGCACGACCGACAGACATGTGGAGCTCGATTGGAGGAGGCGTTAGTTGATTATTGTCGAGAACCAAAGAAAGAAACAAATCTGCCCAAGAATCTACGAAAACGATTGTTGCAGTATGTCCTCCTCCTCCTCGCGTCGTTTTCTCACTGCCGAGGGTCGTGACCATCATATTTCGACAGGATTTTACTCCTTGTAATGTCCCTCCAGCGCCTCCGATCATTGGACACATGAAAGGAATTACAGTATGTAAGTGTTTGGATTGTTGACTCTACAAATAGGTTAATGTAAAAATTTAGTAACGAATAATGTTCAAGGTTTTCAATGCAATCCTGTTGTTATGTTTATCAGCTATTTTAAACGTTCTTTAATCTAATAAATGCAGATACCTACGTCAAGTATGAAACAATGAATTGTATAATTACAGACTGTTTTATTATAATATATAATAATATGTTGTCTGTAAGAAACGACAAAAGAAAAAACTTGCACCGAACGGCCGCCATCGCTCGATAAACATTCGAGGACATTCTTGTTGTCGTTCTGATGGAGTTGACGTGTACAATGTGCAAATTTATTTTGAACTAGCTGTGCCCGCGACTCCGTCCGCGTGGAATAGCGACTTTGGGCAGCAGTTTTAGGACATATCTTTTGGTTTATAAGCACCGTCATTTGGGTATTTAGAAAAATCTAATTTAAAGTAATGCTTCTCTATACACGACATAGACGTATAGCCATCGGGGATCAAAGCATACAGGTTGCTAGGATTGCTAACATGTGACAGAGCTACTTAACCGTGTGACCGAGTTGACTCTGTAAAAAGCAGTTAACACTTATATCTACACCCACAACTTTTAGCGTCTGACCTTGGGCTTTATTTATTATCATCACGAAGCATAGGCTCGCTGGAAACGCGATCGGTAGTGAGTTGTGCTTCCTGTTCTTTTAGTGTCTCCCGAAACCGGGCAAGCTTTTGCTGTCCGAGCCCTCTGAGAGCTCAGACGGATTTCCCTATCAGTAAAAATCTCAAACTCAAGCGATAGTGCAAGGGGCCTCGCGATCGGCAGTGAGACGTGCTTCTCATTCTGCAAGTCTCTCCTGAGACTGGGCATTTGCTGTCCGAACCCTCTGAGAGCTCAGACGGATTTCCCTATCAGTAAAGGTCTCAGACTCAAGCGATAGTGCATGCGTCTCGCGATCAGCAGTGAGACGTGTTTCTCGTTCTTCAAGTGTCTCCTAAAACCGGGCATTTGCTGTCCAAACCTTCTAAGGAGCTCAGGCGCGATTCCCTATCAGTGAAAGTCTCAGACTCACGCGATAGTGTATAAGATTCACGATCGATGGACAAACTTGCGTCACGCTGTTCCTTGTTCACCCTAATTCGAGTGGTCTTTTTTTGAGAACAATGTGAACTCAATCGAGATTCTCGCTGAACCGAAGTTTCTCTAACACGAAACCTCGCCTGACGTTCCTGAGATGTAATGAGTATTGCCTCATGACCTGCTTCAGATTCCTGTGATCGAACTAATTTCATCCTTTTAGCATTGCTGCTGCACTGGGAGAGGTTGGATCTTTTTCGAGGCATTCTTACAATAAGTAGTACCTACTAACACAACGTTGTTTGGTAAACACGTACTTATCATAAAACTAAATTATAAATACTTACAGATTATTATACAGTTTAACTTTATTACAGTTTTTTAAATATTAATAACTATTAAGTCGTGTCAACCTAATCTTTTAACTATAGAAAAAAAAAGTGCCTATGGGTTAATTTACTCCTCGAGCCCTCGGCTCGGCGAGGAGGCAGCGGCGCGGCATCGGCGCGCTCTGTATACCCGCGCGGCTGCACAGACGTAAACAATCTACAAACGCCCAGCTACGTGATTCTTTAAATTGGCATAACTTTTTTATTTATGAACCGATTGACATGAAACAAACACTAAATGTTAAGTAAAGCTTACCACAATAAATTAGTAAAAAACACATTTAAATCGGCAGAGCGGTTTCTGAGATTAGCGTGCACAAACGCACAGACAAACAGATAAACAGACAAAAATTCTAAAAATAATTTTTTTGGGTTCTATTGCGGTCATAAAGCCCCCTATAACAGTTTTCCTGAGATATCTTCCATGTACAGACAGCGACCAGTTACGATTTTATTATATGTTTTTATTATATGTATTGACTAGCGGCCCGCTTCGGCTCCGCACGGGTCTTTAACAAAAATTTCAACGATATTTGAAGTTGTTTTATTTTTTAAATAAAAGAACACTTATTGCGGCATAACTATAATAGTTAGATATATGCTGTCGCGACACTTTTTGTAAATAATAATGTGTTCTACAAAGTCGTAGTACATTATTTTATTCTATAATCATTAGTTTTCGTAGGGCACGCGATGTAAAGGATATTTTAGGTAATTTTTTTACACCTTGGGTTACATTATTGGACTTTTAATAAGGATCCCAAATTTTTTTCAAAAAAGATTATAGCCTATGTCGCTCGGGAATAGTGTAGCTTCCCAACAGTGAAAGAATTTTTCAAATCGGTTCAATAGTTTCGGAGCCTATTCAATACAAACAAACAAACAAATCTTTCCTCTTTATATTATTATATTATTAAAGTATATCAGTATTAGTATAGATATCTAGTTAGCGCAGTTCAAGTTTTTCTTAGATATCTTCTTCGAGTATTCTATCAGCTACGGCTTCATGGACAGGCGTGCTCACTGCCTATTGACCTGGTGTTAAGTAGGACCCGGAACTTTGGTATATTAAGTCGAGGCTTCAAATTGTATTTGTATGACGACTGATCGTTGAAACGGCAACGCATTACTGCTTCCAGATACTTTTAATTTCACTCAGTAAATTATCTTAATTTGTTTACCTAACTCTATGCCTAATCTTTCGATCAGTGTCTAATGGGCACCTACAAGCTCGAGTTGCAGTAGAAGTAATTAATATTGTTACGCCAAAGTACAACTTAAAAGTATATTTATCACTTAGAACACACACAGAACACTTTCAAATTCTCAATTCGCTTCTTCCCCTTTGCTTCAGGTGATCCGTTCGTTGTTTCGCTTCGAGTAGTCCCCATTACTGACTGACTGCGTGCTATCTCTGCAACGCTTTTATAGTTATTACGACATCCCTAAAATCGTCGAGAACATTCGTCAGAAGTCGAATACTTTCGATGAGTGTTTCCGCTATCTGACAATAGATGGCATTGTACTTCTCGAGCGTTCTAGATGCTACTAGATCCTTCGAT